GCGCAACAAAACAAAATGTCGCAAAATGTCGTGCAATCAACTGGTAAATTCACTGACAGGTCTTTTCAAGTCTCTTAAACACAAATATCGCATACTTTCCATGTTTATATTGCATTCGGTACTTTAGATATACACGATATACAAACTAATATTTATTTAATTATAATGTTATACCTACATATATTACTGTTTTGTTGAAATCTTCGAGCTTTTATTACAGTCTATGGAGCGATCACACGAGTAATTTTACGGCAGTGTTACGTCAGCAGTGTCCTTACACTTTACGGCAGGGCAGCATGTGGAGGTCAGAGATGCAGATTCTCACGGCCAGAGACTGAAAACTCTCTAATTATCCAACATCAACACTTGACAACAATTTTGCACAGTGACATCTATGTGGTATTTTCACCAAATGATATACAACACAACCCTGTCGGTAAAGAAAATCGTTTAGTGTCCCTAGCGTTCATCAGTTTTACCGGGTCGGTAAGGAAGAAGCAGGATCATCGAGACGGTTTTCTCTGAATCATCTCTAAAGAAATGGATAATAACACGCCGGAATCAGGAGGATTTAAAGGTGGACTCGGGAGTCTTTTCGGTGGAGGAACCCCTGAGTATTCAAATACTGAGCTCGCAGGAGTACCATGTAAGTTACGTGATGAGTGTCTAAGCTTTACTCTTTTTAACAGTCCGATTCACTTTAAGGTCAAGTGAGTTGCTACGAGAATCTATATATTTATGATAATGTATGCATTTGTTATCTGTCATTCTCAGTGACTGGTATGAGCCCTCTCTCGCCGTACCTCAATGTTGACCCTCGTTACCTTGTACAGGTGAGTGTCTATGAGACCACAGCTACATTTCAGGTCTATTTAAAGGTCTGCGTGGTAGAAATGATGTGTGTTCTGAATTTACGAAGTCTGGCTCATGTTAGAGTTTTAATGGACTGAATTAAGGGGTCAAACTGGAAACTTGTCATTGTAGGTTGTTTAATGGTACAAACAAACAATTCATTAAACAGCAATGGACAATTGTAGCATACAAAACATTGTATTGGCCAACAGAGGTTGATTGATATATTGCATATAATTATTGTAAGACCTGACGTGATTTCCTGAGAATGTAGATTTAACTTTCTATTAAAATCTGCCTTTGTTAGTTGACCTATGGCCTAATGTATATTGGTGTGGTTGTATTGTGTTCCCTTGTTTATGATATTGGAATTATAGTAATACACAAAACATTACAATTAAGATGCTTTTATGGTGCTTGTCTTGCTCTGTTAGGACACAGATGAGTTCATCTTGCCAACTGGGGCAAATAAAACACGTGGCCGCTTTGAGCTGGCCTTCTTCACCATCGGGGGATGCTGTATAACAGGTGAGGCCTGTTTCTTCACAGTCTTTGATCAATCTTATCATGTCTTTAATCTGCACTCTTTTTAACTTTTGCTCATAACTTTGAAGGTGCTGCTTTTGGGACACTTAATGGTCTTCGTATGGGCCTTATGGAAACTAGAGACATGCCATGGTCCAAACCCAGAAACGTACAGTAAGTGTCTGTTCTTTTGTAATTACTTTGATTGGAAATTATTTAAGTTACTGCATAAATTCAGTTCGGATCTTTTTGAATATCCACGGAGCAGAGTGGGCAATGGTCTATATGATGATGCTGCTTAATTATGAAAGATAGAATGTTTACAAATGTGATGCAATGCAGTGTACACGCCGAAACAGAAAAAGAAAAAAAAAATAGTTTTGGAGGGCTGAAATCATTGACCGAGTGCTTTTCGTTAGTTAGTGTTTTGACTGTCAGTCTCTGTTTTTTATTTTACACGTTATGCAACAATTGATGAAAAACTTTACTATGACTCTTTATCATCTGTGAACATGACACCCTGAACAGCATATAAAGTTCAATTACCAAGACTTTTTTTGGTTCAATAAAAACTTAATTTTCAGTTTTGGTGTTTCTGGAAAAAAAAAATGTTATTCAACATTCACTAAAACTGTTTATCCATTGTGTATTACCCATATAATTGTATTGTAATATTGACCTCTGTAATGTTTTTTTTTTCAGGATTTTGAACATGGTCACACGACAAGGGGCATCATGGGCCAACACACTAGGATCTGTGGGTAAGAAATGCATTGAATTCAAACAGCTTGTGTAAAAGAATATCACAACCTGTTTTGTCATTAGTTAAAGGGCCTTTTTACACCTGGTCACTTCATGCGTTTTTGTTTTCTGATTGGATAGTTATCCGATCGGGAAAAGACCAGGTGTATATGCACTCTGTTTTCGAGAGGTATTTAAATCCGATCATTCAAACCACTTCAGGAGGGCATTCCAAATGAAACTGGACAAGTGTAAATTCATCTGGTTGTTGAAACCACATGTCAATTTTACTCCTCACAAAATGTTAAAAAAATAAATGCCTGAGCACATTTGGCATTATCAGGACCCACAAATATTCCCCCATTGCATGATTATACATTATATTCAACATTATATAGTAGTTTACTGTAGTACTGACACTAAAACTCTGAAAACTTTACAATATATTGTCTCTGTCTATATTGTTACACCCCTAAAGACTAAATGACCTTACCAGTGCTGATGGTGTTCTTTCTCCTATTGTGGTATTTGATCTTGAAATTAGCTCATGATAAATAATATGATCAGATCTGTTGCTTTCGTTGATGTGAACTCCATTAAATTTGCATATAGTGCGGGAATTGAAGATCGGCTTTATATTCGTCTTCCGAAGGGAAATCTATGTGGCCAGGTGTAAATAGAACAGTTTTACCATCATAGCTATCCAATCAGTAAAAACGGATCGCTATATGATATAAAAAAATGCATTTTGTTTTGTTTCTCTACAGCTCTTTTGTATAGTGTGTTTGGTGTGGCCATTGAGAAGGCCAGAGGCGCAGAGGATGACATCAACACAGTGACAGCTGGAACGTTAACAGGAATGCTTTTTAAATCCACAGGTGAGGAAAAGCCACATTGACTTCAGTGCTCAATATTGTGGCAATCACAGATTTAAAGGGTTAGTTCACCCAAAAATGGCTCACCCTCATGTTGTTCCAACCCCGTAAGACTTTCGTTCATCTTCGGAACACAAATTAAGATATTTTTTATGAAATCTAAGAGCTGGATCACTCCTTAATAGGCTGCTAGGTAATTGGCCGGCCCAGAAAAGTTATTAAAGACATCATTAAAATAGTCCAAGTGACAACTTGAAGTTTATCAAGCAACGAGAATACTTTTTGTGCGTAAAAAACGACTTTATTCAACTAGTCATTTTCTTCCGTGTGGGCCTCTGAGTTCACGAGAGCACCACGACGCATGCGCGAGAACTTAGAGGATGACACAGATGGGTCTCGATCTCGTGTTTAAAATGGTTCTAAAGTGTGCATTTCCTGGATGTCCGAATCGTGAGAAACCAACGAGAAAACGTAAAAGTGCCTTACCAATGCCGCAAAATAAATGGCTTACCTTTCACACTTTCCCATCAAATGATCGTGAGTGTCATCTTCCCAGTTCTCACGCATGCGTCGTTGCGCTCTCGTGAACTCACGTCAAATGAATGGTTGAATAAAGTCGTTATTTCTGGGGGGGTTTGCGCTCAAAAAGTATTCTCGTCGCTTGATAAACTTAATGTTGAGCCACTGTAGTCACTTGGACTATTTTAACGTGTCTTAATGTTAAATGTCTTTAAAAACTTTTCTGGGCCGGCAGATACAATTACCTAGCAGCCTATGAAGAAAGTGAGACAGCTCTCAGATTTAATCAAAAATATCTTAATTTGTGTTCCGAAGATGAACAAAAGTCTTATGGGGTTGGAACAACATGAGGGTGAGTAATTACTGACAGAATTTTCATTTTTGGGTGAACTAACCCTTTAATCTTTTGAACGTAATATTGTAATAATTATTTACACACTGTATATTTATATATTTATTGTGTCAGGTGGACTCAAAGGAGCTGCCAGAGGAGGTCTCGTTGGTTTAGCCATGTCAGGGCTGTATGCTCTTTACAACAACTGGGATCACCTGAAGGGGACATCACCTTCGCATTACTGAGAATGACTGAGAGCTCAAACCATGGACTTATTTTGACTCTGAGCCCATTCTTAGTGTTTTCACCCCCTTTTGGAGATGCTTCAAATATCTTTTTTTAAAGAAACCCATGGACCACCACATGTGTACAGATTTCTTCAGAGTTACAGTAGGTGAAATATTTAAATGGAAGAGCCAGACTGCCTCCAGCTGTGTGGACTATGTAGCTGTGAGTTTGCTGGTGACATCTCAGTCGTACAGTTGTTCAAGTACATGTCTTTGTTGGTGTAAGTTGCACAGATGAACTCTGTATCCTTTAATTATGTGGTTTAATCTGTTCTCATTGTGGATTGATGCACTTTATCAGTGCTGATTAAACTGTCTGCTTCCTCTCTGCAACCATCTAAAATAAAATGCTAGTTTCCACTCTTTGAGGTTCTTTATTTGTATTTTAGTGGTATTAAAAGTTGTATAATACAATGGATGCATGAATGGTCAGTCTTTCAAACTGGGAGTACTGTAGTCACATAGCTCTAAATACCGGTATATAAATAAAATTAACATTTAGTACATGTTCTTTTTAATGTACTAAAATGTTTTAACTACTGACTGCATAGAAATGAATTGACAGGGGTCTTGTTTTCCAAATGGTTTATTTGTAAGCAGGTCAACCTTTATTTCTACAGTCAATGTGTAGAGTACAGAGGAATGGTAATTATAATATTACAGAATGAATGTTCTTCATTATGACCTTATGTGCTAAAGTATTCATTCACATGTTTATGAGTTAAAGCATTTTAAAAATTCCTTACAGTATTATTTCTCGAAAGCATCCTATTATCCTAGTAGTATTGTACCACTAAGTCACTCTCCCTGTAGTTTAAATAATTAAAGCTACTTCTCAGAATAATGATTATAAAGAAATGTATGAAAATTGTATGCATGAATTCCTTGTAGCATCTTAAAGTGTAAAATATAAATATCCGTCCTGTGTGGAAATTACCTAGCCTGTTCGGTGAAAAGCACTGGAGTATCAAAGGGAGACTGTCTCCATCAACAGGTGAAATGTTCTGATCACTACTTGACGTTGACCGTCAAAGCACCTTAGGGACTGAATACCGGACTACCCAAGAGAGGGCAAATGTACATGCCATTCCTTACAGGAAAAAACAAGGCCAACTGAACTGATGAATGTAATGTAGAATAGCCAGGACCTGTTTTACAGAAAATGTTGCTTGGCTTGCTGAACACAATGTGGAGATCAATGTGATTTAGCTGGAAGCATTTTAAACTTTGCAGTTCATGTACTATAGCGAAGCCCAGGAGAATCTCACATGCATAGCGGAGAAACGACCCACAAACCAGTGCAAACTACCCTAACTTGGTGGCTGGTGGTTGCAATGATGCACACCAGCTCTCAGTGCATGGACCACAAATGGATAAGCAGGTCCATGGGCCAGACCCAGACCGGGACATGGCACTAAATCAGTTGCTTTCACAACTCTTCTTGTACCTACAAATGTGGGCAAATAATTCTTGGAGGTGGGAATTCAGTGCAAGAAGAAGTCCCTGATGCGTGTAGCCTCTATCCATGGGATGTAGGCTGCGGTGCGAGTGAAGACGCTGGGCTTGTTCTCCACCGTGCATCCAATAGGACCGAAGCTCACAATGCCGTGGACCTCCCAGCGGTCACGCCCCACCTGGCACAGCAGAGGGCCACCAGAGTCACCCTTTAGGAAGAAAAGCCACAGAGAAGGTATGAATAGAGTTGAATATGGGGCACCATGATACATTTCCCCATTAAATAGTTTTCTCACCTGGCATGCAGCGGGGGTCCCCTCTGTATCACGGAACCCAGCGCAAATCATGGAGTCTCGCACGCGGTCACCCCAGAACTTCTTCTGCCGGCAGGTCTTGTAGTCAATGACTGGGAGCCGAGCTTGATTCAGTGCCTCAGCAAGTGCCACGTTTTCTTTCCCGCCTAAGAAGAGATGCCAAACCAATATTCTGGATAAGAGGATCACCTCCCTTTGTAAACTCAATGATATCAACAAAACATTAAAGTGCTCTTTGTTTTCGCCTCAGGGGCATGAAATTAACCAGTTTCTATGGTAGAAACTGCTGTGAGTGAGGGTGTTAACTCTGCACTCATAATACTTTATGAGCCAATGATGCCATTGCACAAAAGGCTTATGATACATATTTTACCTCGTGTGTCCCCCCAGCCGGTCACCCAGCAGTAGTGCCCTGGTTTAAGGTTGATCTGCTTGCGCGGCAGGCAGGCATAGCGGATGAAGTTAGTGGTCGGGATGTCCGTGCCAGCTTTAACCAATGCGATGTCATAGTCTAGCTCACTGTGGGCTGGATAACGGAAGTGCTCATGCCTGTAGATCCTCTTCACTGGGAAAGTACGCTCAGCGGACTCTGATCTTTTCAGTTGATGCTTACCCAAAACGATACGCCAGCTACTAGCATCCTCTGCTTTTCCCCTGGTCAACAAGAGGGATACAAAAAGTGGTTGGTTGATTATGACATCTAAGGGGAAAACAACCAGAAAAGTTGCCCAGCAGAACAGCGCTCTTAGTTCTACCCTACTAGTGATAAACTTATGCTTTGCCTTACTTCTGGAAGCAGTGAGCAGCAGTAAGAACCCAGTTCTTATGGATCAGAGTCCCTCCACACACATGAACATAATGTTTACTGCCTCTGGGACGAACCTATTAAAATAGACACAAGCATCAGTGACTTCCTCATTTGCTACACCTTGAGTAATTATGTGTCATTTCAAGTATAATTTACCTGCAGTGAGACCTGCCACGGCCAGGAATGGGGTCTCGCTTCATTGCCCGACACGATACGCTCGACTGTGTTTGGTTTGAAATGAGGCAGGCCACAGTCCTTCGGCCAGTCTAAGGACAGAACAACACTTAAGTCAATGTCAGTTAAAGTACCATGTAGACAAGAAAACACAAGATACACAGGATTTATGTGGAAGCAAATGAAAGGTGTTGTACCAGGAGAGGAAAGAAGGAAAGGAAATCCATATTTGGATCTTTGAGAAAGACATAGAAATAAGTGTAAATTCAGTTTTTTTTTCTTCTTCTCAAGATAGCACCACTTGAAATGCACTTGAAAGATGTCAGTGGTTAGCGTTCATTTCATTTCTCACCAAGGTGGAGGACTTTGTGCTGTTGAAGGCGACTAGGGTTGAATGCATGGGTGGAGGCTCTGTCCAGCGCCAGACCCAGCAGCATTAGCAACAGTGGAAAAAATGGGCTCCTTACTGCCATGATCTACAGTAAACTGTGTGTTGCGCTCTGGTGATTACCCATTTATACCATGCCTAGTGCAGAGGCCATTCTTTGTGCACTCCCCACCCCTGTCGTTGGGACAAAGCACTTTCACAATACCCCTCCCAATCCTGGATTGTTCTGGTGGGGTAGCTGGGGGTTTTCAGAACACGCTGGCCCCAGGGGATCATGGGAGTCCCATCAGCACTTTCAGCTACAGCCCGTCCCTTGCCACTGTGCAAAACAACTCTCCCAGAATAGATTACCAGTAGCCTCCTTACAGTCATGCCATGCTAATAGCTGTTTGGATGAGCAGAAGTGCTGGCCTTCACATGACCTTCTGCTGCCTTCCAAAACCTTGCAGGACTCAAGCTTTACCTTGGTAAAACCCTGACAAATAATTAACAAGATCATGACCGATCCATGTGTCTTTTATATATTCATTTCATTAAATATTAGCAGAACCTGTTCTGTTCACTCGTTTATCCAAAGTGAGTCCACTCATTACAAGCAAGACTCAGAGCAAGACTTGCTCAAGGGCACAATGGTGATGTTTATAGCCTGAACTTTGCGGATAGACATCACTTTTCAGCTGGACCTTAAACCACCACTTCATTTACGTAATAGACTTTACAATTAGTCTTATCCTTAGCCTATAGCTTTAGCTAAACTTCCATGAGTTCAAGATAGTAAAGGACGGAAGATTTATACAGTATAGTTTGCATGGTTTGATAGCAATATTAACATGTTTCTCATGTTACCAGCAGAGGGCATAAGAAGCAAAATGGAGATATACAATTAGGCCTGTGAAACCTACTGAATTTCAAAGTTGTTTATTCTGGTGGAGCAGATTTTAAGACAGGAGATGCTGAGAATACTATATATTCAGGCTGAATGGAGTTTTATTCTTGTTTAGGATGTGTCCCTGCTCACCTGTTGTATTTATTCCAAAAAGGGATCACCTGCTCAGGGACAGGACAGTCAATACCAGGGAATGTGCCTGCTCATCCAATTGGTCAAAGTTACAATGAAAGAGCAATGGAAATGTCCAGGGCAATCTACTGGAACACAGTTCACCAAGTTTAGCAGGACCTTCTGACATGTTCCCATGTCCCTCTCTTTTTTTTTTCATGATCTTCACAAACAAAGAGAAATCCCCTTGCCAGCAAGCCAACGAGGAATCTCTAAATAAATTAATCAAAATAAAAGACACTGAATATTATTTGCCAAATGTTTTATTGTTGCTCATACTTTTCAAGACATTCACTATTCTCAATATTAAAACACATTAGTGTAGTTTTTGCTGTGGAAAGCCTATAGAAAGCTTGTTTTCATCATACAGTAAGGTGTTGATTCAGTAATATCTATATTATGTTAAATCACAATGCTCTGGTCCAAAAAAAAAGAGAAAAAGAAAACATTGCTTTGGCAAAGAAAAACAAAAGCAGTTTGTGGTGCATATACTGTTAATTTGGTCAGAGATTCTAGATACACATTTACTTACATACAATAAGGTCCATCCATGCTATTTAAATGAACATAATCTTAACATTACAGACAGATTGCTCTAATTACAATCCCTAACTTTCACAAAATCATGACTGATTCTGTATATGCTATAGTTTTGATATAGCACATGTGATCATGATGTACATAAAAAACAGTAAAACTCTTACTCATTGTGAAATGAAGCAATTAAACTTGAATATTTTAACATTATAATAAACAAAACGTTTTATGATATTACATGACAAAAAAGTATGATTTATGAACATGTAAAATTATGTGAAAATGTCAAATTATCTTTGTCCTTACACAGGTTCTGAATAGGACACAACCACAATTTTTGTAAAACATTTGTATTAAATTGTGACATGAAAATAGCGGAAAGTTTTTCAGGTCAGATTTTGGCACCAAATGTTTTAATTTTATAATTTATAGAGATTGTCCCTGAGCATAGAACTGGGGCTTAGTTTCAGCTCATGGTGTACTATAGAAGTGTGGGAAATTTTGACCTTGATTCTATATTTACTAATCATCAGTAGGTTTTACATTTATATTTATGCATTACGCTTTTATCCAAAGCGACTTACATTGCATTTTAAGGTACACATTTTACAATCTTATCAGTTCTTGTTTTCCCTAGTAAATCGAACCCATGCCCTTGGCATTGCAAGCGCCAACGCTCTACTGTTTGAGCTAAAGGAAGGTTTGATAAGAACCTAGCTTTACACACCCACAAACCTCATGAGCATTTGCAAGGGTAGGGAATGTTTTTCACTTTTTGTTATACTGGTTGAAACTCTCTTCACATCCTGATAGCAATCAATAATAGAAATGGTCTAAATATAAAAAAAATACATTTATCTTCTGTGGAAGTCTCGAGACCAAAAAAAAAAGTGTCCAATCATTGCATTCGTTCCAAATGCAATGATAGGATGTCTTACCTGTTAACGTATGTAGTAGCACTTCATTTTACAGTCCAGTTCCACATGTACATTATAATAATTACCTGAACTTAACCTTTTATTTAATTACCTAAACCTAACCTGTAGTTGCCTTGTATTGCCCATTACTTTCTTAGGTAAGTACACTGTAAGTACAAGTAAGTGGACGTACTGTAAAATAAATTGCAACAACATATGTATTTCCATATCTCCACGCACCCTGCTCGCGCAGACAACACATCATCAGCAAGTTTCACGAGGCTATGCAGACTTGTAGACACGCAGTCACCGAGCGCCACAAACAAACAGTAGCCACTTTTTACAGTTCCTCCTGAACCAAAACAAATAAACTTATGCTGTGTTCTGAAGAGAGGGTGGGATATTATGCTTTCAGAGCTACAGTAGCTTGCTATTGCTAGCCTCTCTGTAATTGTCTACTCTACCTTTCATATTTTTAGCACTGGGCATTGATTCTGGCCTAGAGCCCACTCTAACCCACAAGACCAAAACATTACCAATCACCATTTACATCAAGACAAAAGACAACAACAACAAAAAAGAGAGCGAGAGCTGTAGCTTGTATTTGACTACAAACGGTTTAATACCATGAATCTGTGAGATCAGAAAACGAAGAGATCTAAATCCATCTTAATCATAGACTATAGAACTAGCCTTCGGATCTTGCTCCAGGAAGCCTTTCAGGGTGTCCGAGAGCTCCATTAACTTTAACGTATAGCCCTAGCTGATGCTCATTAACCTGCTTTTTGCTTTTTTTCAAAACCCAACAAGCACAACAGACACATTTAGCCAATAATTAGCGGTTTCAAAGTTGCTAATACTCAGTGCTCACCAAGATCATAATTTTGGTATTTTCCGCCAAAAAAGGGCATCCAAAAGATACATTGAAGGTCAAGAAAGGGACAAGGCCATGTGTGAAGATAGTTGGAAACACACCGTTATCTGTAAACTTTAAACGGTAGTTCTGTGCAACATGAGCTTTTAGTGTTTCTCTGAACATTACCACTTTACTGATCCAATAGTGGGGCTTTGATAGCTAAGCAGACAAGGCTTTGGAATATTTAGATATATTATTTGAAGGACATTAGCCATTTTCAATCCATTTCCACCTTGCAGCAAAAGTTGTACCGTTTCTATACCTTACGCCTAACCAAGGCACCCACATACCGATAAGGCAAGCTCGGGCCCTGCACTCGTTGCTTTAGTCTCCAACAGTACTGGGGTTAGTGCAACATGCAGAACTTCGCAGTGTTTTTATAACGCCTTCACTCTTCTTTCGTCGCGTGGGCTGCAGTGCCAGGCTGCTGGTATTGTCCGTGGAGTCTTCCATTTGAGCAGCCACAGCTGCAGCGGCTGCAGTCTCTTTGATCTGAATTTCCAGATGCCTTTGGATTGCCAGGCCAAGCTCTTCAGGGTCCACAGCTGCACCATACACCTCCCAGGTCATACCCTCAGCATCCCATTCCACCTCCTTTACAGGGGTCCTATGACCCATGTGCTCTATTGTCAAAGGTGCATCCGAGGTAGAATCCGCTCTCAAACTAATTTCAGGAAACATGTGAGAAAGAGGGGAAACAAGGGAATCAGACATGGTCTGCACACCAATATCTCTGATCTCATGGTCAGATGTCATGGTCGTGGCATCTTTGACTGTCCTGTTAAGACTAGTCTGACCTGTCCGGTCTAGTCTAAGGCAGGAGGAGTTCTGCCCCCTTAACTCGGATCCACAGCAATGGCCTGTACTCCGGCTGTCAAGTCTGGTCTCGCTGACAGATGACACAAGTGGTGGAAAACCAAGCAAGCCTGAATGAAGAAGTGATCTTTGTCCTGCACAGGGGTTTCCTGCACAAGGTGGCCGAGATATCAAATGTCCAGGGCACGGAACAACACTGCAAGCATTTCTCAAACAGGCAGTGTTCATCATGTGACCAGAACAGGTAGATCTATGGCATGCAGTTAAATGATGGCCTTCACAGTTGCTCTGAGCATGGTCTTTTGTATTCACTCCCTGTGGTGTGAAGCTGTTGCTCAGACCTGAAGAACTCATTCTGCAAGCCACTCTGCAACAGCTGCATCCGGTCAGGTTCTCTGCAGGTCCATAACATCGACAACATCCCTCCCTGCAAACCAGACCCTTCATCCTTAAATCTCTATTTGTGGATGGCGAGTGTGGAACACAATTCACACCACTATGGACCTGATTTTGCCCCAGGAATAGATCCTGCGTTGGAGTCCTTCTGGGGGAGTCCTCCATGAAGCTCCAGGATCTTGCAGTTCCTCCATGCCAGATTACAGTCTCAGGGGTGCTGTTGCCACTGCGCAAGCTCCCCTGTTCATGGTCACAAACGTTCACAGGAACTCCAGCCGCTGGTCCACCAAGACTGATAGGCCTTTGACTGCATGCTGAACTGCTGACACTCTTGCGCAAATTCTGACGATACCATGCCAGCTCCATTCGTTGAGGAGGTCCACTCACCATTTCTATTGAGCTTTTGGATAAAGAAATGGTTGGCAGCTCATGGTCCTCCACTGCTTCGGCATCAACAGATGCAAGGCTGATGCTTGGGAGGTAGATCTCAGATGTAGGTCGTTGTCCTTCCTCCATAGTGAAATATCTACTGGTAAAGAAAGACAGACAATGATACAACTAAGTATGAAAAGTATAATTAATATTAATGATTTAAAACGTATTTATTTACACTATATATTTTAAACGATTATACGTTTCTTAAGATGGAAAACGCACACCGATTCTTCCTCTCTTTAGTTGTCTACTAGAAACTAGACAATCCATTGAATTTCTGATGAATCTGCATGACCCTTAAACCTTTACTTTTACGGTATAAAGCTGAGATTTCTTTTGTCCTTACTAAATTAAAGTGAATAGGACAAAGTGATGGCTAGGTATCTCTCCCAAGAGAATTGGCCAGATTACAGATGGATAAGCCCAATTTAAGTCTTAAGATCATTAGCTACAACATGGGTTTCCCAGCTTCTCTCAGAAGGACATTAATCCACATGGGGCTCCAGCACAGGTGGTCAATTCCACACCACATGGTCCAAAAAGGACAGGGGGTTGAATGTTGCAAACTGTCCTATACTTCATGGTATATTGGACCTCAAACCATTACTGTGAGAGTATTTCTCATTTCTAGGAACTTTTGAGAGCACAGAGTGAATGTGTGTCAGGTCTGTTCATGTTTACATCACACTTTAGCCACTTGCACCGACTTTTGGGTCTGTCACTCCCTACTAGTCAGCACAAACATACTGCTGAATCCAAAATACAACACATCCATACTCTAATCTGTGAAGGCTATTCAAGGCACAGGTTAATTCAGAATTATTTGTAACTTGCTATTGAGGTGCCACTGTTTTAAAGCAACTTGTAGTAGACTAAGTGCAGGGAATGTTCTTTAAAGCAACCGGAGGTTAAGAGCCAACTTTCAGGAGTAAACTCAGAAATACACTTGCAACCTTTGTGTTATCTTTGTGGATACTTAATGATTAGGCCGTCTGTGACTAATAGTTGAATCATACCATATAAATGTAACTTCCAAGGATGCCCACACAGAATCTGCATATGCAGAACTTGGAAAAAAAGCTCAGCAGATTTCTGCAGAATTGGAACACGCAACATTCACAAAGCTTACAAATCTCTGATCCCTTGTGTTTGTGTTTTTGCATTGTCTATAATTCAGATAACATGTTCTCATGAAAAGTTGTTTGATTCTTTGGGAGCAGAAGATCTAAAGCCCATGTGTGCTTTAACCAGTGTTCAGCATCCAGCTCATAAGCTAAATCAAATCCACAAATTTTAATAGATAACGCATAAAATAATAAAGTATAGGCCTACACTTTTGTTTTGTATCTGTAGGGTGGCACTATTGCGCAACAAGTGTTCTATACTTCAAAAATATTTAATACTGTTATTACAGTTATTTCACACTATTTAATACTGATCATTAGCAGAGTGTTTCAATAATAATAACAACAATAAAGCAGACCAGGAAAATAACCTGTACAAAAAATGACTGTGACTCTAGTATAATGATGGATGTTATCTCTCCTCAGTTATCATGGGAAAACAAAATACTTATCTTCCAACTGCATCTAAAAATAACAGACAAGGTGTTCACTGTTAACCCTCCTCTTCCACCTCAACCCACAAGCTAACCTCCACCCATCCGTACTAGCTTCAGACTGGGACACACTCTTACACACATGCAAATATAAACACTGAATGGACTTCTCATCCCATACAACAAAATCAAACAAGAAAGATCTCACCTTTTGGTTTTGCTAGCAAGTATACATGGTCCAATCAAGGCCCTGAGTCATCCTTTGTCTTTTCTTCCTTGTCACCTTCACTCCCCCCCTTTTTTAAAAACCATTCCTTTCACACTGAGCAGCACTTGCTTTACAAAGACACAACTACGGTTTCCCTCATGGCCACAGGTAAATCAACAACCTCCCTCCCCACACATACACACACACACACACACACACACACACACATGTACATACCTCCCACTTCCTCCTCTAGTCTCCTTCCCCTCAGTCCAGACAGCTTCCGCCTCCTTCACTTCTTTTCTCTCCTCCACTTGTGCTCTCTCGCTCCGCTGTAAGTGAACAGGACAGAGTGGGTGTGTTGCTGGATTATCAGTTGTTGTCAGCTGATTACACACCACACACTCCCTCTCTGAGAGGAAATCCATGGTGGAGGGGGGAGGAGGTGCAAAGACACACAGACAGAAATGGTGGGTAGCCAAGAAGCACTGTATGCCCAATGGAGGGGGAGGGGGGGGGGGGCAGAATTGTGTGAAAGTGTGTGTATGAGGTAAGGGATGGGGTTGGATGGGGTAAGGAGGATGTAGATTCTATTGAGTTGTTAGAAAAGGAAATCAGATTGCGAATCAGTATAATAAATACTCTTTCTTACACATAACATGTTCATTCTCTCACTCACATGTAGCTCCTGCCTCTTACTCATCCAGTCTTTCTCTTCCTGTTGCTATAGAAACAGCCATGCTCAATAGAAGCCCGATGAATTTTCATCATGCCTTTTTTTAAGTTGTCATGGGAACAATGAAAACAGTCTCTTGTGGTGCTGGGAAACTCATGTCTGTGACTCATCTATCTGATTCACCTGTTCATATACTTCTCATTGCAATCTCACAGATACCTGTTCCATAATAATTCTAGTTCAAAGGTAAAGCAAAAGCAAAATCATGACATGCTGTTTTGTGTATAAACATGCTGAGTTTAACACATTTTTAATCGCCCTATAACAAACCTGAATGTTTTTTCCCCTATTTACAGAGGTTTACCGGGTACTTTTTGCTTCGGACATACTTTTTTTGTCACATAATGTTTATAGTAGGGAATTAAGGGATTTTGGACGCAAATATATTGGAGAAGTGCTAACATGCACTGTTCCTAGCTAGTTATATATTCATACATTATATATTCACTTGAACACATCAAAATGTATTAGAATTTACTCAATTCAATTAGATTTCTTCTATGTAGGAAATCTGAGATGAGTTTACAGTAAGTTTTTATTGCAATCTAATGTCTTGTTAACTACATTTAGATGTATTGTGGGAACAGCAGACGTGTTGCCTGATCACAGCCTTGATAAACTTCCCCTGTTGTCCAAGAGTTATTCATTAACACTTAGTGAATGCAAACTAGGCTCTTGTGGACACCATAACATTCAATCTGTAGTTATTAAACCACAGTCTGAGCCCTGTGGTGGTTCCATAAAATAAGAGTAGTAACATCCACATGTTAAAATAAAAAAATCCAAACTAGCTTTAAACAATTGCCTCAATAGCTCTTTAGGTTGGAAGTCCATGTAGCTTGCTTGTATGCTCACTGCAGTGCATCAAGGTTTTGTGTTTGTTTGGAAATAAATACTGCAACTGGCAGAGCACATATCGGTCACCTGCTTAAACCAGTGTACGGTGTTGATTAACTAACCTGGGAAGCCTCAGGGAGACTGTAGTACTCTCCTGTAGGGTGACCAGGCTGTCAGAAGCCACAGCTTACTCTCAATGGGGCATCAGAAAGAGTGTCAATGAGACGGCCTCTGGGCAAAATGGGAAACCACTGATTGGTGATTGTATTGGACAGAGCAAGATACTTTATTCAGTTAGGAGTTAGACAGAGACTGTGGCCATCCATGGCTGGTGAGTAGAGGATTATTGGAAGCAATTGTACAAACCATATACTTGAGACCTATTTTACATAGATATAATACTATGTGATAGTGGATCTTTAAGACAAACAGACATTGTTTGTTTTACCAGGCTGCAAATATTTGATCAGTGCTCTGTCATCTAATGTGACTTAAAATAAGTTGCGCCAGACACGTTATTATGTACTATGTATGTTAGTTGCAGCGAAGCTTTTTTTCCAGACATGATGGTCTAGTGCTGTCATAGCGACATGTATTTCTGTTTGATAATGTGATATGCCATTAGACGCTGCTGAACATATGGTTGACCCACTGTACACTAATAATCTTCATGTGCAATTGAACAATTATTGACCAGTGAGGCATTATAATGTGCAATTGTAAATATGTACACTTAAATGAATATATAGTTCACCCTTTTAGCTTACAGATACCAGTTGGTATCATAAATGTCAAATGTTTATTTAAATGGATAGTTAACTCAAAAATAAGATAAACACAAAAAAAAGATGGTTTGAAGACTGGATTTGTCCTACAATGAAAGTCAATGGGGTCCAAACCAACATCAGACGCCACTGACTTTCATTTTATGTAGACAAAATATCTTCTTATATGTTCCACAGAAGAAAGTAATACAGATTTGGAATGACATGAGGTTGAGTAAATGATGACATGATTTTCATTTTGGGTCACTATGATGACTTACTATGAACATTTAAAAAAAAGGTTTTGTAGCACTGACTAAATTTAAAAGTAAGCAAACAAGCTTAACATTATGATATTATTTTATATACAAAAATGTAATTTAAATATACTTTACATTTTAACAATGAATTATTCCATGTAAGTTTTACTTTTAATTTCTGAACGATGAGCTGTATTAAATCAACTACTTTACCTGTTACAAAGTTCTGGTTCACCTGCACTGGATTCCTTAAGGTGGCTGCAGTAACTCCCTTACAGTAAAGGAGAAAACAGGTTGTTTTTCTAGAAATACTGTGCTTCTTGAGCAGCAGAAACACAATGTGCTCCACCTCTTGCATGCAGGTCTCCACTAACGTGTGTTGACACAAGACACTTGACACGTCTATTTAAAAGGCATGAGAGAAAGAGACTGTCCAATGGTGTCACACAGCAGGTTTAGTTAATGCAAAGCCATGTTCTCTGTTGTATGAAACACTGAGTGAGAGGTGAGGGTGACCGTCAGCTGAGTTTATTCTGTGTCTGTGACATTAGATCCACTTGTAGCACTGGCTTGTGGTCTGTCTGGAGCATTTCTGTTCCTGTTGCTGTTCGGCCTATCAGTCTATCTACTGTGGAGGAAGAGGCGAACTCAAACACTCTACAGGGGACTGATACCTACCACCCCCACAATCCCACGATGCACTGCTCCAGTGCTTCAGACATCAGAGAGCAGCAGCTATGGGTAAATAACAGTTGTTGCTGGTCTAGAAATGACAATAATATAAGATTTATACACTGTATCATTCATATATATATATATATTCACATTTTAAAAAGTAATATGTGACATTTCCTATGCAATGTGGATTGAAATGCATTCTTACCTTTGAACTTTCACAGCTCAGGTGATGTTCCTTTCTTCGTGCCTCCTCAATTCAAGAGAACGTCCCAATTAAACGAGGGGAAAGAGGGAAGAGAGTATGCTGAGGCATGGGAACTCCATCCGGATCTGCACACCCAGCGAGGCTCTCTAACAGTAGGGAGTATGTCAGGACTGAAATAAAGGCATTTGATGTCAGAAATTATGATAAAAAGAAAGTATACGAATAATCTTTTGAATGTCTCTCGTTCTGCTCTGTGGTTTTTGAGGTTGGTTTCCCCTGGGCTGCATAAGGCCAGACCTGTACCAGCTCCCAGAGGAACCCAGTGAATGGGCCCTTCCCAACGGCTCAGCGGTTCGGCTGTGGTTCGCTCTGCGGTACCAGCAGGAGAGAGAGCAGCTGGTGGTGTCTCTGCTCCGAGCCGCTAACCTGCCTGTTCAGTGCCAGAGTAACGCCACACTGGTCAAACTGCAGCTGTTGCCGTCTGATGACCGACGACACCGGCAGGCCAAAGCACGGCGGAAAGGATGTCATCCGCAGTTCAACGACACCTTTGTGTTTCAGGTAGAGTCTCTTCTGATAAACATCAGCAATCTAATATCTCTCTGTGGGTACAACAGCGAAATCTTCCTCATTCTATGGAGATTCAAGTGCTTTGGACGAATGTTTCATGATTTGTATGTGGATTGATTTTCAAAAACATTTCTGTTCTAAAAAATGGAGAAACTTCTTGAAAATAGAGAAGACATTTCATAGTAGATGTCTCCATCTATTGGCCGTTGCTAGCAGGTTTCCAGAGTCACTATAGAGCGCTTAGAGGAATGTTCTGGGTTCAATACAAGTTTAGCTTTTGATTTTACCACACACATTAATTTCAACTTAATCCCCAATTTGTAAAGAAAAATAAAATTATAATAATAAAATTATAAAATAAACTAAGATAAGCCTTTATGTATAATGCTCTGTAAAGGTATTCATAATGTAAGTGATATCTTTTTATAAATAATTTCAGCCAAATTTAAAATGGATTATAATGTTTGGAGAAATTCATGGTTACATCTGAAATTGGTTGTTTGTAATGCGTTATAGTTATATGTGGGAAAGTATTATAATGTATAATAACTGTTTACAATTATTCATGGGACCATACAACACATTATAAGGTGTATTACAAAGCATTATTAATGCATTAAAAATACTTTTATAATGCATTATATAAAGGCTTTAAGTAAAGTGTTACCAGATTTTTCAATGTTTTTGAAAGAAGTCTCATATGTTCATCAAGGCTACATTTATTTGATCAGAATTTGTGTGAAATATTACAATTTAAAATAAAAATATTTTCTTTCATATATTTTAAAATGCAATTTATTTCTGTGATGGAAAACAGAATCAGCAGCCATCAACCCAGTCTTCAGTGTCACATGATCCTTCAGAAATCATTCTAATATGCTGATTTTGTGCTCAAATATAATTTCATATTATTATCAATGTTGAAAACAGTTCTGCTTAATATTTTTTTGCAAACTGAAACATTTTTTCAGGATTCTTTGATGGATAGAAAGTTCAAAAGAACAACATTAATTTGAAATAAAAAAGCTTTTTGTAACATTATAAATGTCTTTACTGTCCATTTTGATCAAATTAATTAATCCTTGCTGGGGGAAAGAAACGCCCTCAAACTTTTGGATGGTAGTGTATGGTCAAAATAACCTGATTCCTATGCCTTTTAACAGGTATCTAATGGCTGTGTTGACCAGTGCTCTCTGAATATGATCATGTACACTGTGGACCATCAGAAGAAGCACCATCTAGTGGGTCACGTTCTGATCCCCCTCAGACATTCTGAAATAAAGGAGGCAGCAGGCGAAGTGCAATGGAGGGATCTGGACAATGAAAGTGATCAGGTATGATACTTTAAAGGGGTGGTATAATGCCCATTTCACAAGATGTAAAATAAGTCTCTGATGTCCCCAGAGTGTGTATGTGAAGTTTTAGTTTAAAATACCCCACAAATATTTTTATATAGCATGTTAAAATTGTCAGGTTTTGAGGGTGAGCAAAAACGCACCTTTTTTTGTGTCTGTCCCTTTAAATGCAAATGAGCTGCTGCTCCCGGCACAGAGGGCGGAGCTTCAACAGCTCGTGTCCTTTTACCTCACACAAACATGCACTGAACATTACAAAAACTTTTTATGTTCAAACCGGAGTCAGACAAAGATGGAGAGACTCAAGAAGAAGTGACACTATGTAGAATGTAACAGGACGTTTCTGAATGGTTGGTTGATGAATGTATGTAGCTTATGTGTAGTTATCTTCTAGACATTGATTAGCATATTCTGTCATGATAATCTATAAATCACGTTCCGGGGGCGGGGTTTATGTAAATATTAGGGTTGGTGATGTCATGTAGTCTCTACCAGCGGTTTGTTGTAGTCCTTAAAAAGCAATTTCTTTAAAAGAAAATATCTCCCTTTGCTTTGAACTTTGAGTGTTGTAACTTTGCAGATGTTGTTTGCTCAAACAGCAACATTACACACTAACTAAAGTTAGAAAAGTGAAATCATAATCAACCACCCCTTTAAGAGATCTTAGGATATTAAAGGAATAGTTCACCCAAAAATGAAAAATGTGTCATCATTTACTCACCCTCAAGTTGTTCTAAACATGTGGGAGTTTCTTTTACAAAAGAAGATATTTTGAAGAAGTCAATGGGGAACAGAAACTGTTAGGGTATCCACATTCTTAAAAATAGATATTTTTGTGTTCAACAGAAGAAAGAAACTTACAGGAAGCAATTTGTGGGTGAGTAAATAATGACAGAATTTATATTTTTGGGTGAACTATCCACTTGAACATGAACATTCTGTCATCATTTACTCACCCTCAAGTCTTTCCAAACCTGAATAACTTCCATCTGTGGAACACAGTAGAAAGAAAACCATTCAGGTTTGGAATGACATACAGTAAGTGTGAAAAACAGAATTTTCATTTTATGGTGAACCATGGCTTTAATCTGATTTCTGAGCATTTTGCGGGAAAGTGTGCTGTACTAAATGTACTGAATGTGTGTGTTCTCTGCTGTTGTAGTCCCTCTCAAAAAACGGTGACATCCAGGTGTCTTTGAACTACAATCAGTCCCTACACCGCCTCACTGTGGTTGTTTTACGAGCACGAGGGTTGCAGTGTTCCAGTGATGCAGGTGAGAAACAGAGCAGTAAAGAATACAACTCAGTTACAAGAAGTCTCTGCACCTTTAACTCACGTGTAAAATGAATGGTACAGGTGTGTGTGCCCAGGTTTCTCTAAAGATGCATAATCAGGTGGTGAGAAACAAATGGACTTCTGTGGCAAAGGGAAATGATCCATCCTTTAATGAGAGGCTTACCTTCAGACTCCTCCCCATTCAGCTGGACACAGCCTTTCTGACACTACAGCTTCAGCAGCCCAGCACAAAAGATCCTGGTAAATGTCAAGCAATCATTTCCAAGGCGACAGGGGACCACTCACCTGCACTATCCTGCTATTATTAAAGGGATAGTTCACCCGAAAATGAAAAAAAAAAAAAATCATCATTTACTCACCCTCATGTTGTTCCAAACCTGTATGAGTTTCTGTCTTCTGCTAAACACAAAAAATATATATTTTGAAGAATGTTGGTAAGCAGACAGTTGATGGCACCCATTGACTTCCATAGTAGGGGAAAAAATACTATGGAAGTCAATGGGTGCCGTCAACTGTCTGGTTACCAACATTCTTCAAACATTCTGTTGAACAGAAGAAAGAAACTCATACAGGTTTGGAACAACATGAGAGTGAGTGAATGATGACAAAATTTTCATTTTCGGATGAACTATCCCTTTAATACAGAAATAACAGAATGCAAAACAAAACAATATATTAATTCAAAATTAAATATTGGGGGAACAGATGTAAATGTTCGAAAATGAAACGCCATGGTTAGGAAAACCAAGGTTATTATTGATAACTAAAACTAAAACCATAAGAAAGATTTTTGTGAATTGATATATTAGATGAAAAACATTAGATATTAAATGAAGCACTAAAATTACTAAGTGGACATAAATAAGAACTAAAACTGAATAAAAATAAATTAAACCTAAATGGTAATATTTTGAAGAAAAAAAACGAATAAAAATATGACAAAAGCACATAACATTACTACAAATTAAACCTAAATTTAAACAAAAACTGAAAATATGAATGAACTCATTAAAATGATCAAATTATGATTAAAATAAATAGTTAAATAATTGAAATTGCTATACTGATAATATATGTAATTAAAAATTAAAGACAGCTATTTTTGATACACCATTAAAAATGTCTGCCACCTATGTATCTTTACTGAGTCACTCTATTTTGTCTTTAATGCCAGTGTCGTTGGGGATTGTGGTCATTGGGCCGTTCATGTATGCAAGGGGCAGAGAACTGGAACACTGGAACGACATGGTCAGCAAACCACAGGAGCTGGTCAGGCAATGGCACCCACTGGGATCCGCTGACACAGTACAGGGCCCTCACTGAACAACATCCACTCAATGCCAACCTCACTCTCTTTGAAAAGAATGGTAGACTTGTATTTAAGGGGGAAGTGTTTTTTCAGAACAAGGCTGATGTCAAAAAATCAAATGGAATTAAAAAAAAAGTTAAAAGAAAAGGTTTATTGATAGCATAAATTTGTGAATGAGTTTGCTTGTCATTTAAAAATAATAACAGTCCCATCAGAACATTTGTGTGACGATGCAGGAGGTAAAATTACAGTCCAGTTGTACCACAGGGTTCCCACACTTTCGCACCTTGACCTTTCCAGTTGTTTCTGATGGATAAGGATTTTGTTTGAAAGCCATTCTCCAAACCTCCTGTCCCATGTAGGGTCACAGGGATCGCTATTGAATCGCTCAGTTTGATTGATTCATTGAAAAGAGCCAATTCAAAAGAATAATTCACTCACAAACTGGACATACACAACTGTTCAAAAGATTGGGGTCAGTATGTTTTAAAAAAAAAAGAAGGAATTAATACTTTCAGCCAGGAAAGATGCATTAAATTGATCAAAAGTGACAGTATTGACATTTGTAATGTAACCAAAGCTTTCTATTTGAAATAATTTAGACTCTTTTAGACTTTCTATTAATCAAAAAATCCAAAAAATAATAATAATAATAATAATAATAATATGAGTTTCCACCATTTTCAACACTGACAGTTGAAATGTTTCTTGAGCAGCGAATCAGCATATTAGAATGATTTTTGAAGGATCACGTGACACTGAAGACTGGAGTAATGATGCTGAAAATTCAGCTTTGACATCACAGGAATAAATTACATTTTAAAATATATTCAAATGGAAAAGAGTTATTTTAAATTGTAATAATATTACTGTTTTTTACTGTACTTTTAATCAAATATATGCAAACTTCTTTCAAAGACATTTCAAAATCTTACCAACTCTTTGAACAGTAGTGTAGCTTGAGCAGGTTTGACTCTACACAAAAGCAAAATCTAGTCACACAATATTAATATTCCCTTGACACTTTTTCATTGTCTGTGGGAACCCTACACACAGTGTGAAATCCACCACCCCCGCTGGGCCTACGTGCATGCAATATGGGTATAGGCCATTTTAGTTTTATTTGACATTGTTATTGATGGACATTAACATTCTGCAGTTCTCAAACCTGAATGAAATTTAAAACCCAATTATGTGTGACACTGATCAAATTTGTTAAGTCTGCTTTCACCTGGACTCAAAAAAATGTAAACATAAATCATCTATAAATCTATTTCCCTTGGTGCATTTTGCAACATGGTTGCATATTGTGACCTGGGTGAGTGTAGCTGCTCTGACCCTGAACACTGGGTCTGGATAATCCACTACTGTAAGGCCTCTTATGGACTAATCACAGAGTTCAGAAAGGCTAGCAGATTGCAGCTCGGCGCCCACCTGTTGTCATGCTCTACAGCCAGCAGCATGTAATACTTAAACTGCCTGGACACAGCGTGTCTTGTGACCTGGCTTGTGATCTGCCACTCATTTGGTACCCTTAGCAATAGGAAACCAAGAGCGGTAATATTCTCTGTTTTTTGTTGCTTTCAGATCCATTCTCTAATACAAGTGGCTGAAATGAGCTCCTTAAATGTCAGGACGTGGTTTACACCAGATCACCTGTTTAGGCCACCTTAGACGTTTATTAATAAATCCAAAAGCACTACGATGAAGCCTCACATGAGGGTATGAAGCACGGCTGCCCTCAGATTCCTGTTTCTCGGTATGTTCTTCACTGAGCATTTGATAACTTTATAAAATTTGGGGCAGCTTCCCAAGTGGGCAAAGTTCGGTAAGCGGTGTCCAGTCTGGTGGCCGTTTTTTGCGCCCCACAGCATTGTGGAGCACCTTTGAAGCACTTCTACTGCCACAGAGTACTGGCCGTTAGTCCACTGTTTCAGCCTGACCACCGTCACAGCCGAAGAGAAGCCGAAACAGTAACGCGAGGTGCCCCGGAACACACGTTCCCCTTCACCGAAATATGCCCCTTCCTCCCAGGAAAGCATGGAGCCGTCCTCTTCACCCATGTCAGCCAGGTTACAGAGGGCCATAAGGCAAGAGCTCTGCAGTGCCGCATTTCCACTGTGCTGGAGAAGAACCGACACCAGTCGTGGGACAGCTCCGAGCCTCAGGAATCGCTCTTGCTGCAAGTCTGGCAAGAAAGTAATCACACTTACATCTCAAACTCCATGGTCAGCATCAATATATATGGTGCTAAGCTCTACTTAGGGGCGCCTCAGCTCCCTGTTTTTCATCTTAGCCCTCCTAGAAAAATCTGCAATGAAGTTGCCAGCCTCTTAAAGGGATACTCCACCCAAAAATGAAAATTCTGTCAACATTCCTCATATAGTTCCAAACCTGTAAGCATTCCGTTCTTCTGCGGAACACAAAAGAATGTGTTTGAAGAACATTGGGAAACGAAGACACATTGGGAACCCATTTGACACTGAGAGATTTCTCAACATTTCTTCTTTTGTGAGAAAGAAAGAAAGTCAATGACATGAGGGTGAGTAAAAGATGACAGAATTTTTTTTGTTTCAGTGTCCCTTTAAAAATCTGGTGTGATCTCTCTTCACATTCTCTGAAAACAGCAGCTGCCGTAAGCTATTCAGGGGTTATTTCACTCCGAAACCTGCCAGTAAGTATTTTACAGTTTGTGTCATTAAATATCATCCGGCAATGTTCACACACAGCTCTTGAAAGCTCCACTTCTCTATCTCTAGCGCTATATAAATGTAATGAATTATTATTATTATTATCTCTTATGTGAACACCATCTGTTCCAGTGTAATCATTACAAAAGGCAGGCAAAAAACACCATTACCATTGAAAACCATGCATTTTCAAACACTTTCAAAAGTGAAACTATTTGAAAATGTTAACTATTTTCTGAAACCACTCTTTCTTCTGAGCCACATCAACTCAGATTCAGGTTCAAGGCTGAAATCCTACAATTGCCTCTCATACAGATCAATTGGGGTTCAATACCTTTGTATTCACAGATAGGGTGCTTGAAATGTAATTAAAATCTGAGTCTTACTTAATGAAATATGACTAATGCCCTTTCACATCAGTACTGCTTTTAAAATCTATGGTTTAGAAGAAAAAAGGGCAAAAGTTCAGGTCCACTCACTGCTGTCATAGCAGATCCTGGCGATGGCCTGGCTAACGTGAAGGAGAAGGTCCTGGTCTTGGCTTAGCAGTAAGGTCACAAGGGCAGACACAATGCCCGTCTCAAAGCATTGCTCTCTCACAGGAGCTAAAGAAAAAATTATAGAATAATAAACAGATTTAGAGCTCATCAACTACAAGTATACAGTTAGATAATAAAAACATTAACATAAACATGTTTATTAACACAACAACAGTATACATAAAACATTTGTTCTTACCGTCTCTGGCCAGTTCAGCTACTAGTCTGGCAGTGTGAGTAGTGAGAGTGCTTTTCCTTCTTAAAATCTGAGCCATAACAGGGAGGATCCCGCTTTCTACCACCTGCTCGGATATGCCTTTCTCTAGGGCAGGGAAAACACGTTCATTCTAAACAATCGAGATACACAACTGTTCAAATGTTTGGGGTCAGTAAAATGCATTATTGTTTTAAACTAAATCACTTATGCTCACTATTGCTTATAGTTACACAGTAATATCGTGAAATACAATAAACAAAAACAGTTTTCTAATTTAATATAATTTAAAGGAATTTATTCATGCAATGGTAAAGCTGAATTTTCAGCATCATTAAACCAGTCTTCAGTGTCACATGATCCTTCAGAGAATTCTAATATGCTGATTTGCCGCTCAAGAAGCAGTTCTTTAGCCTGGATGCCAGCCCGAACCCCGCCCACAACATTTTTTGTTTGGCAAGTTCGGTCTGGACTCGCTCCATTGAGGAGTAATTATGATCAGTCAAAAAATTTTCTGCCCAATCAAATTGCCAGGGCGGGCTTTATACGATGATGGACAGATGATCTGCAGGGACGTAATCATCACGTTATCAAAGAGCGCTTAACTGGTTTCCCTCAGAGATGACTGCAGCTGGAGAACTTAGATGTATAGATTCCGCTATTGCGTCTGTTGTAAAAGAAATCGACAGCGCATTCATTTTAATAGACGAACAGAGAACTGCAATCAAGGCATTTGTCGATCGGAAAGATGTGTTTTCCGTCCTTGCTACGGAATTCGGCAAAAGTTTAATTTATCAGCTGGCTCCGATGGTCACTAAGAAGATGGGACGCAATGAAAACCCTGTGGTCGTTGTGGTTTCTCCTTTGGTCGCACTCATGGAGGACCAAGTAAAAGAAGCAACACTCGTTATTTTACTTCTTCCAGCGTGCGTGCATTTGAGTTCTGTAGTTGACAACTGTGCTATGCAAAGTAGTTGACTTACTGCGTTGCTCTCATTGGTTGTAGGTCTATCCAATTGAGTGCAGAGTTTTTTTTTTTTCCTGGTTCGGTTAAGACACGCCTCATAATCAAAGCCCTATGGAGCAGTATCAGACTCACATTCTGACTAGAATATGAGTATGACGAAGTCAGGCTAGCAGTTCTTATTAGCATTACCAATATTTTTGTTGAAAACATGACATTTTTTTCAGGATTTTTTTTGTTGTTGTTGGTAAATAGAAAGTTGAAAAGAACAATCTTTTGTAAAATAAATGTATTAACTGTTTTTTTATTATTATTAATTTAATAAGCTCTCGGTTAATTAAAAGTACTAAAACTTTCGGTAACACTTTATTTTACAGTGCCCTTGTTACATACACAGTACACGTTACATATACTTGCTAAATTAATAACAGTAAATTATGCATAATTGCATGCAACTAATTCTAACCAAAACCTTAATCTTAACCATAACCCTATAGAAAGTACATGTTGTTTAATAATGTTGTTCAGTACTTAAATGTAGAATTATGTAGAACAAGAACACCTTCAAATAAACTGTTACCAAAATTTATTTGAAAATTGTACTGACACGAACATTTTTACGGTATTGTATATATTACAAACCCAAGAAAAGAAAGAAAAGTCTGAAAGACCAACAAATTGGATCAACTGTTTCCAACAAGCTAGACCATTGTCCAGTTGCCCCGAGTGAACATATGCACTTTCACACAAATTATGTTTCCACAAACTACAGATGTCGCTCACAGCTGGCTATCTGGATGCTTGCGTACAAGTGAACAGTCTGGCTAATCTTTCCTGTCACTCAATAGCTCTCACAGAGACAAACACGGATTAGAGCGTCTCTGTTTTCGTACCTTCTCATAGCCATCCTCGTTGACATAGTAAGTATGGTTGATCACTTATGCCCAAATGATTTGTGATAAGCATGGGATAATGCACAGTCAGCTGGTCAATAATCGGAAGATAAACCTGACACTATCACATAATCTGACTGTACATCATCCGGCTTTTTACACATCAAACATTGATTTAAGTTTAAATTATTTGAATATGTGAGAAGAAAGAATATGTAGAGTGGTACAAAAAACATGAACCATAGCTGTAAAATAAATGTTTGGAAACCGTTTGGAGGTCCTTGCGCAAAATGTTCAACCATAGAGTGCTGGGATTGACCAATCAGAATCGAGTATTCCAAAAAAGAGGCATAATAACCTGTGATAGTAGCTTCACTGATATCTAAAGCCAAAGAGTAATTACAATACACACTAAGCAGCTTTCAGACCTGACACAAAGTTCTGGCACATTCTGCATCTAACTAGTTCAAACAAGCTCATAATAATAATTAACAACAGTTTCATTTAAAGAAACTACTTTATAAAGGCATAATGTATAAATTAATGTCACAAAATATTATTACATCCTGTAATGCTCAGAGGGCATGGTTTTTGGTAAACAAGTCCTCAACTAGTACTATACAAGTCCGCAGTGACTCCATGTGCACTAATACAACTACAGGTCTTGATCCAGCTCCTCATGTCCCAAACATTTGACACCCAAATAAATAATTTTTCTTTTTAAATATATAACAAAAACATGAAATACTCACTTCTTTCAATGGCAACATTCAGCATTGTCTCCAAATAGGGTTTTAGTTCCTCCTCGACAAGTTCTGTGCTCACACTGATGGCCTTTATTGCAACACTTAATGAATCTGAGAGGAAAAGAAAATGTATATCAAAATGTACATCCTTCAGACAGTTTCTATTGTGTCTGCGTTACTTACCCTTGGGCGCGCTGGGCAGTGGACGACTGGCCCCCATCTTGTCCATATGTCTATGCGAGTTTGTGATGACCTGTTAAGTTCTCAGCGGTGCTCGTGTCCCAGATTAGGACAGTCTAGACTGCGTTTCTGTTCTAAAATCTCACACAGCTCCATCTCTTGCTTTGTATCTGCATATATTTATCCTTTTTTGTGTCCCCCACCTGCTGTTTCTTTCCACTCTGTCGGGTTTGTATATACATGTATGTCTGCGACATAAACTCCTCCCTCCCTCATTTATTTTCCTCCTCTCAATCCCTGTCTCTCCATTGCCTGCTCTGACTGAGACCTTCACTAATGCACTCCAAATCCTCAAGTCTAACAAAAGCCTAACAGTGGACAGGCTGTAGGTGACACTGTGAACTGCAGCACGCTCACATCAAACGTCTCCTAGAGGGCAGAAGAGAGAGTGGAACAACAAACAGACAAACAATGTCATTGGCTGAGCTACAAAACTGACTCCAGGGTGAGGATTTTCTCTGCATGCTTGCCAGGGATTCAGAAAAGCTACTTTATGGGGGAAATCTTTTGAGGAAACAAAATATAACAAAGCAGTTGACCTGAACATAATTGAAAACAAAACAAATAGCTATCATTAATATTTTGAGAGGATGTATAAAACTAATAAATGATAACATGCTACGTGGCTGCTTCTGGATTGTGTCCCCTGTTTTGTCGTTCAATGAAAATCGTAAGACTGATTAATTCTCAAAACCCCACACAATTTAAAGTATCATTCCGGCCCGTAGCACAAAGGGTGCGAGATAAGTAACGCTCCAAATTTTAATACTTAGGGTAAAGGTTTTGTTCACATCCTTAACCCTAATTATGAGCAATTGAAATTGCAATTAATATATTTGATATTGTACATTTCAGCCCTTTGCATTAGAGTGAATCCTTCTTTGCTCTGCGAAGCAATAACAAAAAATGATAAATATACAAATTGCTTAAAAAAGGTAATGCTTTTAATACAAGCATATGATGAGCAATCTGCAAAACTTACCGAGTACAGGCTATAGTCGTTCACATACACGATCAGACAAACAGAAAAAGGAAATAAATAGTCCGAAAATCAAACAATGTCCAAGAGAAGATATGTTCTTAGTCAAACTAAATTGCTCAGAGATTGTAAGATTAAGTACAACAGAATTAAAGAACATTTAAGAGATAAAATACAACATAGTGCTGAAAAAAAAAAAAATGCTTGCATGCTACTTTAATAGCATACATTTTTTGTGTACATATGTTTTTTTTTTACCACAAACAAAACAAAAGGTCGAGAGCGACGTGATTGGTAAAGTATAAATCAAAACATCTGCCGAACACCCTCTCAGACACATAATATTTTCTTGATTGACTATAGTGAGAAAATCGAAAATAATCAGTCTTCAGAGAAGTCTAACGTTTATAAAACTAACATTTTCTATGAAAAAAATGTTTGCACTCAGAATTCACAGTGTCTCTGTGTGCCTCTCAGGCACGGGACGTTACGCAAGACCTGCATTGGTGGGGTTGAGTCCACTGGATATGGTTTCGTATCCTACAGAGACTAGCGTTAACACGCTGCTCTCCATCTCCGTGGACTGTTGAACCTCAGGAACAACAGAATCCAGCCGCATCTGTTTCCCTTTCTTACGTCCCCTTTTGCCCTTTTCTTTAGGTTTGCCATCTTCCGTGGCAGCTTTGGGCTTGCGGTTGCGTTTCCGAATCCTTCTCACTGGAAGTTCGGGTTTGGGGTCCGTATTCCCAGAGAGGATTCGGATTTGTCGGTCGATGACGTTATCTATGATATCGAGAGCCACGTCCATCATGCCGTTACCAAGCCCATGCGTAACATTGGAGAACAAGCGGGTATTCATGGGGTCGTTAAAAATCTTCCTCATCTCCTCGAGATAGTTCCTGTTTAACAGTAAAAAACAACCAAAATAACTTTTTGAATCAAAGCAGAACCATTTATTGTTCTTTCTACGGGCCTACTAGTACTTTACCTTGTTTCAATGATTTTTGACCAGTGCTGCACCTGGTTTGTTTCAGGTAGCAACTGTTTAGCCATATTCTCATAATCGACATACTGCAGTGCAAAATCCTTCATGTCTTTGCAAAGGGCCGCTGTGTCACCTGAAAATAATTCAAATGCATGTAGTTATGTACACTTAGTAACCTAGTATCTATATTCATTTAATGTTGTGTATAAAAGGAATGAAAATTTGGTCATTATTTACTCAGCATCATGTTGTTCCAAACTTGTCTGACTTACTATTTAATCTGCGGAACATAAAAGACGGTATTTTGATAGTTTTAGTATTTTTTTGCCCATACAATGAAAGTCAATGGGCAAAAAAAAAATCACTAAAACTATCAACATATCTTCTTTTATGTTCTGCAGAAGAAAGAAAGTCATACAGGTTTGGAACAACAGGAATTCTGAACAGGAATTGTTCCTATTTTCAAGTATATGGTCCAGACTTACCTTCAGTTAGTTTGGAAAAGGAACTGGACACTGCTGTGTTGGTGCTTGGTGACAGTCCAAAGACATTTAGGGACTCTAAGAGTGTTTTCTTACTAGCCGGACCTCGACTCACTCTTGTGTAGGCAGCCAGAGAGCGGAGAGACATCTTCTCAGGCGGTTCCAATCTCCTCTTCACCTCGTCATACTGGATCTGGTACTTGCGAGCCTTTGAGCTCTTCATGTTAGGGTCCAGCAGGGAGGCTACCTCTGCAAAAGGGACCTGCAATGAGTTCACTGCACCATCTTGAGACGATGAGGCACTCTGGCCTTCTGACGGACCTTGTGTTGATACATGGCCTTGGGTCGGAATATGAGCCTGTGCTTCCACATGGCATTGCTGTGGGGCCTGCAGATGTGGAGCAGGCTGGATGTGTGACTGAGTCTGGATGTGAGTTGGCATGTGGATGTGCGACGGGACTGTGTGCGGTACAGCGTGACAGGAGACTTCTTGAGGAACCACGTGCTGTGAGATGATCTGTGCGATGTTTGGAGGTTGCGGCTGATACATGGTTATAATGGGGTTACCGACAGAGACGTGGACGATATCGCTGTTCTGGGGAACAGCGGACATGTGCATACCTGCAGACGGATCCATCGTTTCCCTCTCACCAGCACAATGATCATCAGCTTATCAAGGCAACTTTGTATCTAACAAAAAAGAAAATATTAAAAAACGTGTGGTTGAATAAACCGATATATTATGTATACTTTTCAAACAGGTCAACATAAAACACTTAAGTAATGTGATGTGAAATAGGATATTCAATCAGACTAAATGAAGGGCAGACTTTAACTAACAGCAATCGATTTGATTGAGAAAAGTGAAAGATGGTGAGAGGGGTTGAAAAATAAGAACTGAAAAGGAAAGGTTTTCAGAGGTGGAGCAAAGTTTCTTGTTTTTGATGAAATTTTATGAATGCAAACAATTTAGGAACATGTATTAGGAAAGTAAACTAAATAGTCAACTTTCATTCAGTGTTGACTTTAAAAATGATTTTCTTTTAAATTTGCCAATTTCATAGCCTTTTTGGTAGTATATTCAGACATTTCTATATTTTGTCAAATACATTTTTTTCAATGCCACAAGAACAAGATGTTTACATTTTTTAACAACATTAGCTGCTGGATAAAAATAATTACATATTACATAAATGTCTATGATATTCTTCTTAACGTGTATTAATTTATTAATGTGAATTAATTCGTATTAATTATTATTTTATGTTGATATGGGTTTCTAAATCCTTCCAAATCTTGTAAATAGTAAACAAATGCAGAATTGTTTCTTTTTCCATTCCACAAATTCAATATATTCTTTAATTTGATGCAAAATTTGTTTTGCATGCTTTGTCCCTACCAAAAAAAAAAAAAGAGACCCACCGAACAAAGATCATTTCTCATGACCTTACGGTTACATTGATGTTTTAAAACATCAATATTACCAAATATTTCGTCAAATATACAGGTGAGATTTAGGAACATGACCCACATTACTTTTTTTTTTTTTTGACAGCGTCACCTCTGCGCGAGACGGCTGAACTTTGAAGCGCGTGCTTGTGAGCGCGCGACGGTATGTCTTTTCCACACACTCTTGAACAATATTACTACCCGGTAAATAAAACTGGGCTGCAACACATGCATCTGATCTGATCAAGTATGAGTATGTGATATAATGTAGCGTTTACTTCACATAAAGAGAAAGCATAACGTTATACACATAAAGCCTGCATAAGTCATTGTTGACTTTGAGAGGAATGATAATCTACTTGTTTTGATCAACAGTAGGACAGGCCAAAGCCACCATCATGATTGAAACTTGATATTCCACCGTATTCATGTTCTCAAAAGCGTCCAAACCACCGTTTTATTCGGACTGTTCTGGTTACGCACGCTAACCTTGAATCAGACAAGTTACTGACAGCATTCTTACTTACCGCTCAATGGTTAGAGTCGTATTTAAACCTTACTGATCCTAGAACAGTCCATGGCGAACCGCTCGAAGGTCTCCTTCTTCACCGATCCTATTTCGGCGGGTTGCAAATCAGCAGACGGGACACAGACGCCATAGCTGCCAAAGCTCGTACGCTCATTGGCCAATGTTCCTGTCAATCATGTTCTCTGGAAGCGCTTATTCGTGGAGACCTGTGTAAGTCATGTTAAGTCAGTGAAAAGAGGCGGAATATCCGGAGCTTAGAATTGTAACTGTTAGGACGTGAACAATGCTTCCAGGATGGTGTCTCCTAATGTTTTTGACAGAAGTAAGCAGTGAATTTGAATTAGTTTAAATGTATTATACAGAAGTGATGAAATGCGATCAAGTCAAGGACACTGTGGATTTATAATTTTCATTAAACATTAAAAAACATTAAAAATTAGTTGTCATGTTTAAATAATAGGTCGCTTCTTTGCACTGCAGTGTATCGATCACAGCTTGGTTTTCTTAAATATAATTGTAACTTTACCGAAGAAACTAATTCTTGGTCACTGGATATGTTATTTTTTATACAGTTCACTACTTCTTTTCTGCACTAGATAGCAGTATTTCTTCTCAAATGGCTTTATTTCACCGCCTCTAATGATCTCATTAGATGCTGCCCATCCCAAAGCTACAATGTTTATTTGCTTTTTCAGCTAGTTGGACAATTAGTCTTAAGTGCTAATTATTAAAGCCAAACCCATTATCTTGATAATCTTGCTAGTGGAAGAGAGATTTAGGAGACCGGGGACATATTAATGAGAGTATTTGTTAGAGATGTTTCCATGGGAAGAGAGGTGATGTCTCTCCATTTTCTGTTGTTGTCTCCTGACACAGAGAATTCATGTATCTGCCCATTATCAATTGGTCACAAATGAAGTGTCAGCACAGGAGGCGCAAGGGGACCAGAGATGGAGAGACGGATGTAATATGTGCTGGAAAAGCACAAATATCTCCTCCTTCAGCAACCTCTGCATCAGGCGTGTCAGGTCAGATTGACATATAAATCAAAGGTCTGCCAGGACTCATTACTTTTGGTGTTTTTATGTGCCCAGGCTATAAATCATGCATGTTTAAATGCATCAAATTAAAGACTTTGTATGCATTTTTGAAGCTGATGTTTTAGCTTATTTTAGAGGAGGGGTTTGTTATTTTTCTCTGATCAGCAGACAAAAGCCCTCTGGTGATCTTGTGAGTGGATGCAAAAAGATTTTGAATACGCTGCAAACATGAATGCAATTGAATAGGCCTGTCTGTCTGTCTGTCTGTCTATCTAATCATGTTTAACTGGTTATTTGCCTTATTAATGAAGCAAATCAGTTTCATTCTCATTCTAAACTTCTTTATTGCCAAACCAGATTGATGCTTGGTACATTAGTAATGTGGTTTAGATCCTCCATTAACAGAAGAACAACCCTTCATGAGGCTGCTCGCATCTTCGACAGCATGTGCCACTTCAAACGCTATCTTACAACAGCATCCAGAGTGCCTGCGGCAGCCAATGCTAAACGTTCTGCTGTTCTCCCGCTGCCAAACTCCAGGGAAGGATACAGATAGAGGAAGCAAGGATGTCAAAGTATTTTAGCATTCAACTATAAATATTTAACTGAATAAGGAAGTCTATATCATGTTGGAAATTTGAAATGAAATTCAGAAATGTAGAACACACAAGGTTTGCATTCTCTTTTGTGTGAGTATGACAGTTAAATTAACAGGCTAAATGTGATGATAAACATAACAGACAGATTGACTATAGATTATGTAAAAAACAAAGACAAAAAAAAACTTGATGCTAGAGAACTGGTGTGTAACATTATAATTCAGACATGTCTGAATAAGCCAAATTGTTGATACAAATATCTAATATCTAGCGCTATCTCACCTGCTAATGGTGTGTGATTTGTCCCTTGAACTCATTGGCTGTAATAACTGCTAGTCTTTAAAGGAAAGTTTTGTTGTAACAAGTAACACTTTAACTAACAATGAGCAGCACGTTTGTTACATTATTTATCAAACCTTTGTCAACGTTAGGTAATCTCGTATAACCTGACATAATTGCCTGATTTTTTATTTTATTTTTAAGTGGAGCAGTTAATGAAACCTTTAGAGAAAATCTAAAATAAAGTTTGCATATGTCTTGTTTGTTGGCTTTTATGGCTCATATAGTATGACAGGGGAATATGGAGTTAATACTCGAGGAGGGAAAAAACACCTCAATTTTATTCATTGGCCAAAAACTAAGGAATGCAATTTTGCTGATATTTACATGGCCAAAAAGTGCAATGAAATTCTGATAGCTTGTAATGTAAAATTGACAAGATATTTATAATAGTATATAGAATAGTTCTCACTCTTTATTTCCAAATAATGTTATATTCAGACTAAATTTAAAGGCTCAGTTTTATTATCAAACCTTTGTAATTTGTATTGTGTGACAAATTACTGTAATGCAATGATGATTGAGACGTACTACAAATAAAGGTTCTCCAATATCCTGATGTATCAGGTTTAATACTCGCATTAAAAAAAAATTTATTTAGATTTTTCATCTTGTATTATTACTAAAAATATAACATGTATTCTTACATTTACTTTATAAAAAATAGTAAACAACCCGAAGGTGGATATTTTTTCAATTAGCCTATACACAATTATACTAAAAGCCTTTATACTTGCTAAAATCAATCAGACAAAATCAATCATGACCAAAGTTTTCATCATGCTAATAATTTAGAGGCCTTAGAAATTTGTTTATAGAAACATGATACTGTAAGATTTATAGTGTTAATAAAATATAAATGCTCATTGTTTATTCAGGTTAACTCAACTCAAGTCCATAACATTAACAGATGTTAATGTTGAAATGAACATTCACTGAAATTAATACATGCTGTATAAGTATTTTTCACTGTTAGTTCATGTTAACTAATGTAACATTAACAAATGGAATCTTATTGTAAAGTGTTACCACTCAACCTGATGTTGCTCCAAACTCATATTACTTCTTTCTTCTGTGGAATATGAAAGGAAATGTTCAGCACAATATTAATGCTGCTCTTTTACAATGAAAGTGGATGGTGACCATAGGCTGTCAAGCTTCAAAAAATGACAAATAAGGCTCAATTATGTACATATACAGTAAGTGGATGACTTGAAATAAAGTGTTTGAGTCGTATACCACTTTTATGTTGATTCTTTTTTGGAGCATTACAGCCCTCGGTCACGAATTTCTCCATTTGTCTTCCATGGAAGAAACAATACACAATATAAAGGTCAACAAATATTCATATTTGTGTGAACAATCACTTTAATATCTGTTAACAATATATGCAGAAGAAGAAAAAAGAGAGGCTTAATCCGTTCTTCTTTCTCATCTGTTTCCATACCAACTGAATGTGGATTGGCTGCTGTAGAAGCGGTTAATGGAACTGAGAGATGATGCCTCTGGGTATAAAGAAGTTATGATAGACAGACAGAACCTGTGAGGGGATGTGGATTTTTCTGTGGCTGTGTAAAAAAGGAAAGACTTTACAAAGCATTGTGACTCACTGGTGTATTTGTTGCCAATATAAAACATGGGCCAAAAAAAAGGGCCATGGCGAAAATGTAGTATATTTAGTAGTTGTTTAATGGTCATAACCATTAGAACCAATTAGAAAAAAATTGCACAAATATTGTAGATAAAGAAACTTAGCACAGAATAGCCTTTCCCTTTGTTTACCGTGTAGGTAAACTTGCAAAAAAAACTTGCAAAAAAGTCAGTGTTGTTCCACTCAATGGTAATGGCTTTAAACATTTCATAGTTGAAAAATGTCTCCCAGTTAGTTTGAGTTTAATGTAAGACCAAATATTCAAATCTGGACTCTGACCAGGACAAAACATGACCCTGATGGACTTGTTCTCAAGCTACTTGGTTGTCTTTGCAATTTGGGCAGGAGCAGTGTCTCGTTAAAAAATAACATCTGATCATTCCTCTTTAGATAACAGCTTTTCAATGTGGGAAGCAAAGCCATTCTGCAATATTCTCTTCCACTCCAAAGCATTAAATGACTTCAGAGTGAAGTAGCTCACCAATACCAGCAGCTAAAAAGGTTTTCCCACACAATGACTCTTCCTCCATGGACGCTTCACTGTGGTATAGAGATGCTTTTATTATTATATTTATTACCAGATTTTCGAAGACACCACTCTGGAGCATCACCATGCAGCTTGTGTTTTGCCCAGTAGTGTACTTTCTATGCTATCTCTTTTAAAATTGTCCTTTTAAATGTCATTTCTATACAATGCCACTTTCAGGTTATTACTTTCTCTTTCTACCCCCCTCCCCCCCTCATGGCCCAATTTTTCCAGAGAGCACAAAGACAATTGTCTCTTAAAAATCCTTAAATATGCTGTGAGTGTTGGAGGTACTGCTGGCAGTTTAACCATTGTGTTGCCATGACAACACCGCATCCATCAAAGTGGTGCACCAGTAAAATTCTTGTTTCCCCCATTACAACCACAGATCATCATGTCGCAGGTGTCTCTGCGGCACAGAGATATTACACGACTGTAAAACACGTCAGTGCCAATGATCAGGTCACGAGTGTGGCGGGAGAAAGGGAGGATTGAGAGGGTAATGTATGCATGCTTGTGTGGGTGCGAAGACTCCGTGGGTGACTTTGCATGCCAGTATCAGAAGGTCACTCATGCTGGGCTTCCCAGCTGTATAGCTTTATTATTATGAGCAAACATGAATCAACTAAATCTATTATGCTCTGCTCTATTTGTTTTTATAGAGAGTAATTGAACTCATGCTATCCCATAAATGCTATAGAGTGCATGGCTGTTTCACCTAATTTATTGCATCAATGCATTTCATAAATATTCTCTGACTTTTATGGTTTCCATGGAATTATAGTTTTTCTTGGTTTCCATGTGAAATAATGCTTAGATGGAACTTTCTAAATTGTTCCGTTTTCTGGAAATATCCATAAACTTTTTCGACTATGTGTGCCTTAATCACGATTTGTGAGGAAAATATTCTGTTCCATCCGAAACCCACACAAAGAATTAATTGCCTTAATTTTTCTCCCCTCTAAATCTTAGCTGCAGTTTATAATGTTCCCTCTGCTGATTTTATTCAAAATCCCTTCAGGTCTTTTTCTTTTTGAAGATTCAGACCGCATAGTCACCTCTCTACTGTTGCATGCAAAACAAACATTTGTTGAGAGAAATCACTTTTCTATGTTTATGCACATTTAGAGGGTAAACGAACAACAATGCAAAAAAAAAAAAAAAATCAGTTAAACAAAATCTCTTAATAAAGCAAATTGGCTAGAGGTTATTAATTAAAGAATAATTTCATTCAGCTTAACTTTATTTATATAGAACTTTTAGCAATAGAGACATGTCTTTAAGTCAGTGGGACACAAACTCCATGCATAAAAACTCTAAAAATGCAGAGAAATGTTGTCAGTCTTCCTGTTTACCTGAAGGAGTAGTTATTTAAAGATGCTGTAACTTAAGTGTTATTTTTAACACACAAAATGTCCCTAGTACCTGATAGGTCATGTGTTCTGAGACATCACACTTCTCTCTGTGACATCCCTAGGCTCTGTGAACGGCAAACCAAGTAAAATGACACATGCTATAGGCTTTTAGTTCACATGCTTTAAGTTTAAATGTAAGTTGTCATTCTCTCTAAAAAGTTGAAAGGGGTCATCGGATGCAAAATTTACTTTTATATGGTGTTTGCATATAAATGTGTCTTTGCAGTGTGAGGACACAACCACCGTACAATGAAAAAAATCCATTCACTTCTATTTTTTTTAATCCTCAAAAAGCCTAAACACTTTCAATAATCAAGCCGTTTGGATTTTCTGAGCAATATGATGTCATATTGCTCAAGCTCCGCCCACGACCACTGACGGACTGTCCCGTATTAGCATATTTCCGCCCTCAGCCATTTGTATACTTTCTGCCGAGCAGGTTGCCATGGCAGCACTTTACGTGTCTTAAGTCGACACCATAGATATAAAGTATGTGTAATGTTATTATGTATATCTATGGTCGACACGCCCCATGGAAGAGAGGGGTGGGGTGAGCAGTTGCTCAATATCATTTATAGAGGCATGCACCGAAACGGGTCGCTGTGAACAGAGCTGTTTTTGAGGAGGTAAAAAAGGGTGTTGTTTTACACAACCATTGAGGAATTTTAACCAAAGTATATTACAAACTTTACATGAAGACCCTAAAGAATCATACCAACTTGTGGAAAATGGGCATCCGATGACCCTTTTAACATCCAGCTTTGCTCTCCATGCAACATGGCATTCATGAGTGATGACGGCTGCGTCTGAAATAGCATATTCTCTTAAGTAGGTACTTATTTTCAATAAATAATTACTTAATATGCACGCTAAAAAATATATATGTTCTATATAGTATGAGAGTGTGTATGAAAGTAATCTGGACATAGGCCTACTACATTCGCCATGTTGTCAGTATCACATGACCAACCAGCGTCAGTTACGTTGCTTCACTGCCATTCATAAATCCTCTCCTGTGGCCTCATGGGACAGTAAAGTGTCCATCATATGCACACTTCAGAATCTCGCCGGAAGAAGGTCATCGGGGTACTTTTTGCCCACTCTTTTATGAGTAGGCCTACTATGAATTCGGACATACTTCTTTTGTCGCATAGGCCTACTCTTTTTCGCCTACTATATAGTAGGGAAGTATGCGATTTCAGACTCAGCCTTTGAGAGAAGTAGCAATTTGTCTGAATCTGACCGTTTCAATGAATCAGTTGATCCGATTCACAAAATCAATCTGGGGTGCGTTTCCCAAAGCCAACTATAGTCGCTAGTTCCATCGTTACCAATGGGAATGGGAATTCAATGGGAATTGCGATTAGTTGGCCAGCGATGCTTTTGGGAAACGCACCCCTGCATGATTCGCTCACAACTCAGACTGACTCGGTTCTAAAGTTCAACTCACTCAACATTGTATATAACAATCAGTGAATAATTACTTGTTTCCTATTCCTCACAACACTGTTGTGTGGCACGAGAGTTAGGCCTAATAACCACAGTTTTGAGTTTTACACATTGTGAACTAGGCCTACTTCATAATTTATTTTCTAGGTTTATACCTATTTTGTAGAAAAATTTAATAGCATAGCCTAACTAAACAAAATATATTTATTTATTTATAGCTGTAGGCTATATTTTACACATTATCATTATTAGGATATTATTAGAGTTATGAGCAGTATTTTAATTGTTCATTTAGGCACATATCTCACAAATTGCTTTCACTTGTTTTTTGTTAATTATCATTATTATGATTGTGTTGCCAGGTTTGCACTAAGGCAGCAGTGACGCCCAGTTTGTTGGCTGCTGGTTTATCAGTGCGGCGCGCGCGTGGTGCGTGAGCGCTTGGAGACGTAGGGCTGCGCGTGGGTCGCTACGAGGGGTGTGTGTGTCTGTGACACTAGGCTACTCCACAACACCGATTAGACATTACATATCAACCTACGGCGGGCCACGGAGCATCGCATCCCTCACACTGGAAACCAACGCTCTTAAACGGCATCCGCGCAGTTGTGCCATTCAAACCGTTTGAACAGCGCTCCTTCGCGAATACACCCTGCTCCGGAGGTGGCTTCTAACACCGTACAATGACACTGACCCATAGCCGCAGATAGGGATGGATCCAAGAGTGTGGAGGATGCTCGCGCTGCTCGGGGTGTTTGCAGTCTTTCTGGAGGTAAGACGCGCCTATAGGACTGTTCAGTAATATAGCTTGGGACAAAGCCTAAATAGGCTAGCTTTATTCCATTTGCTAAGACCATGTTTGCTTTTTGCGTGTTCTTTTTTGTATTGCTTTGAGCCGGTAACATTAATGCAGCATGATTTCAAAGTGGTCCTTTTTTGGTAAAATCTAGTTCAGCATTTAATATTTGTCATTGTGCAATAAAGCACTCACATGCTGTTTAATGGATTCAAGCAAAGCCACCACCTAGGATCTGACATCCTTTAGGGAGGAAATATCGCTTAAACGATAGATGGAGAATAGGGATAAAACTGAATACGTTTTAATTTTCGTTTCAGTTGTTTTTTTCTTCTTTTTTTTCTTTATTAAATGCGCAAAGACCAGTGCTGGCAAACCACAATGATTCCGTGGAAAAAATACACCACATTGACCCATATTCTGCTGTAAGACTAATGAGTTTGATGAGTGTGCTAGAACAAAAATTATTGACCCACAAACGTAATGGTTTCATTACATTTCATTTCAAGAATTCAGTATAAAAATTGTTTGAAAAGATTTGCCGATTTATTTGGTTCTAGAGCATATCTACACATAGGAGTCTCAAAACTCAGCTCAGCACAGAAGACAAAGAAACATCCAGTTGTGAAAGATTAGACAGAATGCTTTGAACAAGACTTTTTGTTTATATTAACATCTGCAAAACCATTCCTAAATGGCTCGGATTTATTATTAATTTTTCCAGCATAACAAAGAAATGGGCATCAGTGTTATTCAACAGCTAGATAACTGTACCTTCATCTCAGTTCACACTCACTACAAAGCTGGACTATCTTAACATCTGTTTGGGCGGTGAAACAACAGCACTATGGGAAGGAATTAATGAGTAATATGACTGCCGTGCTCCATTAGAGACTCTATGCTCCTCTTGATTATGAAGATTTTACAGCACAAACAAATCTGTTGAAAGGCTTTGCTCCTGAGATGCTGTAATACACCGGATTGATTTTATATATCTGCATGCATTTTAAAATGTGCATTTGCAATTAGACTCCTAAGATCAGTGGATCACTGGATCAGTGCTATATGCTAGACATCAAGGTTGTTGTGTGCCTTCCTCTGTTTGCAGCTGTCAGTAAGACACACCTGGTCATATGTTCACACATCTGTGTTATACTCCATTACCACAGTCTGTTCCTTGTATAAGTGCCATTTGAGATTGAAAAAAACAAAGATGCTGCTTAAATCAAGGGCTTTTTGATGTGTGTTTTGCTGTTTCAGGGAAAGGAACATAATCAAGGACAGTGTCCGTCTGGCCTCAGTTGCTGCTGTGGAATGAGAATGACCGATGCAATTATGGCCGTAACTGACCGGAGTGTGTTGATATGAGCATACATATCAGGGTGCATAACTGGAGCTTGTTATCTATAATGCAATTATCCCTGCTGGTGGTGCTAAACCCCCAGATCAGTTTATTGGTCGTAAATTAATCAAGTAAATCAATACCATGTTTTCATCTACAGACGTGTTAAAATGACTGTGCAGTGCAGCATAGAAGCAAAGGGGTTTCAAAGGAATAGTTTCTTTCCAAACATTTTTATTTATTTATTATTTACTCACCCTCATGTCTTTCTAAACCTGTATGGAACACAGAAGTTTAACAGAATGACTGGTCTGCTCTCTTCCATGCAACGAAAGGGCTGTCAAGCTCAAAAAAGCATCATAAAAGTGGTCCATGACTCATGCTGTATATTCTATGTAAGACTTCTGAAGCCATTTCATAGCTTTGTGTGAGAACTGGACAGGATTTTAAGTCACTGAAAATCTTGCATTGAAATTATTGCTTGGGAACCATCATTCACTGTCGTTGTATGGAGAAAAAAGGCAGCTTGGACTTTCTGCTATAAATAACTCCTTTTGTGCACTCGGATAAAAGAAAATCATACTAGTTTTGAAAGACATGAGGGTGAGTAAATGATGACAGACTTGTTATTTTTAGGTGAACAATTCCTTTATATGTTTTTTGAAGAACTGGTACACATAAAATAAATGTTTACTTCAAATATTCCTAAGGGTCAGTGATGAATGCTAGGTCAAATTTAGGATTTCAAGCTGCATGGTTTCTGGTCCTCAGTGAGAAATCAGTCGGGAGAACAGAGTCCAATTGGTTCTGGAAAACTCAACCCTTTATAGCTGTTTTGCTGCTTCACTGAAATCTCTCATTGCTTTTCAAGTCACAGAAGCAGCTTTAGTTCCTTCTTGCAGCCACAATGATGCTCTATCAGCAATCCTCAGATTTCTAGGGTATACTCAACCTTGACAGCTGCCCAAATTTTAGCTGAATGGTTTTGAAAACCCATAGTGCCAGATTGGATCACTGTATTAGCTTGGTGTTCAACTTAATATTGAGGAGTTAATGTATATCAGGACAATTAAAGCATATTGTTGTAGCATTGTTTGCAGAGTCATCTAAAGTCTTTGTGAAACTGTTAGTAGAAAATAGGGCTAGGCAATTAAGTATTCGCCATATATTCACAATATATAATGTTAAAATAATATTGTGAAGATTTTAATGTGCATTTTATTTGACTATAGGTTTTGAAGAGTGTATCATCAGACTATAGTTTCATGATTCTTCTTTGTCTCGTGACTTATGAATATGAGAGCATTAAGATGTTTAAATAGCATTTCTGATTTGTATTAGCTTGAGTCGGTATGTTCGATTCATTTCCATGAATCCAGTACAAATTCTGTTAATTTTTGTGAATCATCCATTCAAAATGTATTAATTTGCGCCATATGGTGGCATTGTTTTCAAATGATAAAATCATTTAAAGGAAATGTACATGTTGCTGTTTATCACTACTATAAAAATATAAATGAACATTATTAAATATCAGTTTTGTGTTTAGTGAAAAACATGCATTGATTATTTTCTTATTAAAAACACTTATATAGTGTGCAAGTAAATGTTTCCCATTTACTCATTTTTCGCATTTACCCAGTCCTCTTTTCCATTTAAGACAGCAGTTACCTTTAAAGATTAAGATGATAACTCATCTCCTAATTGCTCTTCAGTCGCAGTGCAGAACCAGAAAACGCAGAAATAAAATGTCAGTTAAAATATTAACAGATATTATCTTCGTTCCTTGTCAGGAGTGACTCTCACAGCTTCCTCTGAGCCAGGCAGAAACGGAACGCACCGCTGTTCAAATGTGTGTCACGTCTAAGAAGATAAAACTTCACTTTTCTAGAAAAACAGACACTTTAGTGTACCGAACAAATCAATTCATAGTTCTGTCAGCTTTCTGCATTTGAACTTTGTTTCCTTTTCCCTCTCTGCAGGTGAATGGTGATGACAGCTACCTGAATGCAGTGCAGAATACAGGTGAGCCAATATGTGTTTTATTACACCTGCTATTAACATTCATTTCGGAAGATCCAATACATGTAAAGAGAGTCCAAAAAGCTTTTGTGATGATCACTCAACCACATTCAGTGGTGCTTGCTTCAACTGCATGTGTAGTGTAAATACTAACCAGTACTAATGTGTATGAGGCCACATTAAAGAACTGCCTATTCATCACCACTGTGCTAAAATAAGAGTTTTAAACTTTGTTTCTGAATGAAATGAAAACATTTTTGCTAAAGCATAAATTGACGATTGTATGCAGTGACAGACAATTTGATTTGCATAAATGCTAAATGAAAATAAATAAACAGATCATAAAGCATCATGAGTTTATGTATTAACTGTGTACATAGTATATAATAACTGTGCATTTTGCTCAAAATGTTATTGGTGACTGACAAGAATTCAATTTAAGTGTATTTGAGAATGTGGTGTGCAAATATTGCTGAACTTTATCAACATGCAGTACCATACAATTTATTTGTGATATCATTTGTCATGAAATCAGAGACCCTCCATTCAGAAACTCACATAGTAACACATTTGAGGTGCATGAAAAAAACAGGGATAAACAGTTGTCATCTGGCAACTTGTGATTGGATCACCCCCAAACAGTTGTTAATTCCAGGTGTAAACAGGGCATTAAAGGGACAGTTCACCCAAAAATAAAAATACTATCATTAATTACTCACCTTCATGTTGTTCCGAACCCGTAAGACATTCGTTCATCTTCGGAACACGAATGAAGATCTTGATGAAATCTGAGAGCTTTCTGTCCCTCCATTGACAGCTACGCAACTACCACTTTGACGCTTCAAAAAGTTCATTAAGAGATTGTAAAACTAATCCATATGAATTGAGACTCAATTGTTTTATATGATGAACAGATTGAATGTAGGCGTTTATTCACATTTTATTCACAATAGACGTTGATCAGCAAAAGCTCAACCGAACCTGCTGATGCGCGAGAACAAACCTCTTGCTAAAGCGTAACACATGAGACTGAACCTCATTGGTTCTTGTACGTCAAGTGAACACGCTTGAGCTTCTGTTTACCACAACTGATGTGTGAGTTGATGTTTATATGTGAATAAAAGGCTAAATTCAATCTGTTCATCATATAAAGTGATTGAGTTTGGACTAAACCACTCAATTCATATGCATTAGTTTTATCGTTATAAACATTTTGAAGCGTCAAAGTTTTAGTTGCGTATCTGTCAATGGAGGGACAGAAAGCTCTCAGATTCCATCAAAAAGATCTTCATTTGTGAAGATGAACCATATACATGCCATATACATGATTTGATCCTTGTGTTAGTTGATTCAGGTGGTATTAAGGAGAGAGACGTCCTCACAGCATTTGATTGGACAAAAATCATACATACAGTAGTGCAAAATGAGTCAGCAATCTTTTTAGTTGATTTTTCCCTGCGAGTATCTGCTAAAGGTTACTTTTATCATCTTTTAAGAGTACAGTAGCATATACTGTAGATGGCTTCAAAGTATTAAAAGCCACAAAACGCAATTTTCATTTCATGGTCTATAAAGAAGACGCTGGCTCACTTTCATGTTTCATACAGAGATGTATGAAAAATTAAAAACAAATGCTTGTTTAGAGCTACATTCTTCTAAATCTCATTCTCTTAGTGTTCTGGCTGTGGTAGTAATGAGCCGGTGAAGATGGATTTGTGATGGGTTGTGTTGTGTTATATAAATAATTCATCAATTCCTCCAGAGCTCCAAAATGTGACATTTACACCACATCACTGTGCGCTGGTCGCTGGATATCGCCAGTGTGGCTGTTTAATAAGGGCATCAACCCTGTGATGGTGTCCCATCTTTCTGAGCGGTGTCAGATTTTCTCCCTCATCTCGCTCTCATATACTTTGACAGCGTGAAATTCCCCAGTACCAATCCTGAAGTGCTAATGACTGTCAGTGCTTTGATGTCACTGCATCAAGACAGATAAACAGCCTTCCCCGGACCAGCCAATCAGACGGCTTTATGGTGCCAGGAACGGAAAGGGCTTAGATTGAGCGATTTGGTTTTCTTTTTTCATTGAAAACATAAACTGTGCCCAAAGCATCCTTTATACATCAAAAAGAATGGGTCAGCTTATGATCTTATAGTACCCTTGAAAGTTGCATGGCTAGGTAGCATGCCACAGTGGACCAAATAAAAAAAAAAGAAGTTATTTTGATATGAGTTATATCCTTTGAAACAATGTGCAAAGGTTACATGCAAGGTCTTTGTGGATTGTCTTGCTCTAAGCTCTGTACATGAAACAGTGGCCATAAGAGAACTCATTTCTGGTTTATTTTGCAAAAAAGAAAAATGTTAATGTGCATTCCCTGATTTTCTTATGTTGCTTCCTGTCACCCATTGGTGCCCCACCATGCATCTGGTCCCACATTCGCTTAAGACGCCAAAGCACGTTATGTGAACCGTGTCAAATATTCATTGTGGTGGGGAAATGGATTATTTGGAGCTCTCCTATGGTGCAGAGCTGAGAGCGTGTGTGTCCAAGTACGCCATACGGATGCTTTGCGTAAATGACTTGATTTCTGCTGCCATTCGTTCTGCCAGTGTGCTTCCATTAGCTTAGAGCGGCACAGAGGGTGTCAGTGGCTGAAGGTGAATGAATCCCAGCCAAAGAGCTCTAATACAATGCTCTGCAATATTTATTTGTCTTCTTTTTTTCATTTTTTTATTATTACTTTCAATGATTGTTTTGCATATTTTTTGCACCCACTGTTAACTGCATATTGTCTAGAAGTTCTATTATATCTAAGCTATTTTATCTGATTGTTCCGATTTGATTGTCTGTAGATTTGCTTAAAAAAAAAAAAAACGTTGTGCCCAAGCTTTGATTGAATCACTTATGTCCTCCAATTTTGATATTTGACTCATAAGGTAATTTTTTGAATAAATCTTTTTGCAATACAACTTCACAACATCACAGAAAAGAGCTTCTCTGTCTCTTTCTCTCTTTCTCAGCTTCTCTCTCTCTCTTCTGTGCATCTGTGCCAGTCTTTGCTTTCTCAAACGGCTTTGATGTTTCATCCCCCACCTTATGTGTCAGATCCTTGTGTGTTTGGGTTAGAATGGAGAAGAATGTCAGTATAAGATGATTTCACTAGAGTTGATATTTCAAAGAATGGCTTGTTCAATGAGCGGGATGTGTTAGTTTATCAGATCCGTGGTAGAGCATGCATCCTGCATCTCTCTCTGTTTTCCCGTAGCGTCCCCTCCCCCGACCTTCATGTCGTAGGAGTTATTAACACCTGGAGATCAGCCTTTTTTTTCTTGCACCGTAATGGAATGGGATCGAAATGTCTGAGCCTGTGCTGAATAAGCATGGCCCACTCCTGGTGCTGGTCCTGATGCCCAGACGCCTCTGTTTTACACTCTTTTATTACCTGACCTTCCCTGTCATTCCTGTTAAATATCTCTCTGCTTCTTTTTAGCACGAAATGTGCTATTCCATCACGCAGAAGATGTCTATCTCCTCTGTTCTTTGTTATAAAAGGATCCAAATGTCAGCCTAATGTATCAGTCTTAAAGGGATTTTACCAAGAATGAAAATTCTATCAATATTTACTTACCCTTATGTCATTCCAGTTGTGTGAAACACAATTGTTTTTGACAGATTTCCATAAAATGTCAGTTTATCATGACAGGGGCTGTAAAATTCCAAAAAAGCATGATAAATGCACCCTTTTGCATTGGACAGGATGGATGTCGGTTACATTTCAATGATTATTTAGTGTTTCTTAATGTCATGACATCAAAACTGCACTATAAGCGACACTTGATTTCAAGAGTTGCAAGGTGAAGATAATCAGTGAATAATGAATAACGACTTTTATATATTACATTCATGGTCTAAATTCTATTTACTACATAAAAATGGCTTGGGTTAGTTGTCCCTGCGGTTGCTAAGATGTTCTGGGTGGTTATGAAGTACTTACTTACTGGACAAAGAACTAAGTCAAACAGTCCACACCAAGCTTATGATATTCTTTTCCATAGACTGGACTCATATTCCTCCTTCAATATTCACAACCGTTAAAAAGTACTAAAGAGTCCGTACGATTTTTCCTTTTAAAGAAATTAGTATTTTTATTTCAGCAAGGGGGCATTATATTGATCAAACTTAGCAGTAAAAACATTTATAATGTTATAAAAGATTTCTAGTTCAAATAAATGCTGTTCTTTTGAACTGCTGTGCATTCATCACAAAAATATTAAGCAGCAACATTGGTAATAATAAGAAATATTTCTTGAGCAGCAAATCAGCATATTAGAATGATTTCTGAAGGATCATGTGACACTGAAGACTGGAGTAATGATGTAATAACAGTAATATTCTGAAATAATTTAACAATTTAAAATACCGTTGTCTATTTTAATATATTTCAAAGTGTAATTTATTCCATCATTATTATATTCCATTTTTACTGTATTTTTGATCAAATACATTCAGCCTTGGATGGACTTTCAAAAATATAAAGAAATCGTACTCATCCCAAATTTTTGAACAGTATAATTTTTTGTTAAAAGCATAAACACTTTATTAGATTTATGCTTAAAACAAGATAGTTACTTTCCAATGGTGTAAGATAAACTTAATCAAGGAAATATTCTCTCAAAGCGAGTCTTATTATCTGACACAATTTTGCTTCTCAAGTAAATAAATCTTGTGTCAAGATACTTTATCGTAAAACAAGACAAAATACTAATTAAGAAGAAAATGTATGTAAAAAGCAATCAAAAACTTTTTATTCTGTCACTCTCTACGGATTAAATAATTTTCAGTTGGTTCCAGACACTTTATCGACAGCATTATGGCGTTTCCTGCCCACACATCTTAATGCATCCAATTAAACAGAAACGCAGTCAACGATTTCCCTGAGGTTGGCACAACTCTTTCTGAGAGCGCTCTCCGTCATCCTGTTTTAATATGTCTAATTCAGCCCTGCCCTGATTGCAGAGAGTCTGTCTGAGCTTGCAGATGGAGACATTAATCTACTGCTGCTCTTTACACACACACACACTGTTCCTCTGTAATATATGTTTTTCTGATATCACTTGAATACAGCCTGGCTCAGAAAAGTGCAGTCGCATGAGTATGCAGACAAAGAAGACTGCAGACGTGCCAGTCGTGACTGTGATTAACAGCCTGTTCTTCCCACTGCCAGTGATGTGTTTTCAAAGGCAAATGGAAGGTGGAGGACCCTTCATATCCACAGAGCTTTCTAGTGACAGGCTGGGAATGACATTCTGCTGAGTCATGGAGTGCTGGATTCTGGGACTTAAGGAATTGTGGGTTAACAGGGGATTATGGGAAGTGAAAGATCACAGCCTCTCCACCCTTCTCTGACTGTCTTTGGGTCCAACTCACAACAAAGTTCATCAAAAACTGCATACAAACATGGAAAATCTGCTGAAATCTCTTGGAGGCTTTTTTTGTGCAAAGCCAGCAGCATTTCACAGTCCATATGGACCTCACCATCTAAACTCTCCATGAGTTCTTCCCATAGTTTTGCTCTCCTCCCAACCATGTGTTCGTGCATCCAGCGAGAGATGCATTTGTGTCTTCATCAGCACAGCACCAAACTCAAGCCCTTTAGCGAAGTAAAGTTGTGTTCAAACTGTTCGAAAGTTTAGAACAGCGCTTCTAATAATCTTTCCTACATTATCTAGCCATTCACAGTGTGTGTGATGTTGTTCTGTGCGAAATGCAATTTGATCCTGATTTCACAGCACTACAACCACACAAATTGCGTTAACGTAATCAGGTTTGAGTTCTGGAAAAAGACCAGCTATGATTTTCTATCCAGCTAGCTATGATCCAGCCATAATCGTGTGAGGACTTCTGTTTACTTCAGTCATTTTTCCAATCTTTTCTTCTTTTCTTTGTTTTTTTTCCTTATGTACTCAAACAACATATTGTTCCAAATCAGCTCTTTGTAAAGCAGCTTTGGAACAATAGGCATTTTGAGAAAAACAGCTGGATAAAAAATAATTGAATATTTTTTTTGCATTTTTGTCCATTCACTTTCTGTTTTTGTTGTGTTGCATTGAGTAGCCCCTCCCACAGTGAAATGTCATTGGTTTAAAATCCTGGTCTATATTAAATATCGAATACATTCAGTTTGGCTGTGATTGTGTCACATCATGCAGAAATTTTATTTCAATTTGGACAGACTAATCACTTGTCACTGGAAGCTTGTCAGTTCATACCTGCTGGGACATATTGTAAGTGACTATAATTGCTAGACATGGCAGATGTCTATCCATGAATAAAGCCTTGTGATAATTTCAGGTTCATTGACTTCTGCATTGCTGTGGTTGCTTTGTCAAAATTGGTATAGCAGCTCGATTAAATATCACATTTAGATGGCGTTTTTTTGTTGAAAATGCATCTGGCATTTTTAGTGTAAACGCTAATCCATATTGATGCATACCGGGTGATATCATCGAACCGCCTACTCATCTGTCAATCAAATACTGCTTTGAAACGAGGTTTCGTTATTAAAAGAAAATAACCATCTGATCTTAAAGAATTTGAGATGTAACAATGTGATTTGATTGAAACTAGGCCTAAGAAACCACAACCACCTGTTTTCCTTAACACGAGGTGCAAGTTTGCAATAATTATGCCTTTAAATCCAGTACGGGTGGTGTAGCTCTTGCTGGTGAGTCTCAAGTAGGGCAGGTCAGGGAGAGTTCTGCTCCCTGCCGCTTTGTTGGCTGCTCATCTTGGCTTCTCAGCACCTGCTTAGAGCACAGCCTTGTCTAATCCCTCGTCCTTTATGCTCGGAAAGTAGGCTGTATAAGGGATCCAGATGTCCAACTTCTCCCTCTTTTCAATCTCCAGCCCTGGGGCTGAGGAATCAGTGCTCATGGCTTGGAGGCCAAGGTGGGTGTTCTGGAGAGATAAACAAAAGGGCCACTGTTAGATATAAGATGTTGGCAGGAAAGCCATACGGAAAGGCCACATCTGCAGAGCTGTACATTGGCAATTTATACAATAGGGATTATTATTTTGGACTCTAATGACAGAAAGGGGATTTTGCTAGATTGTGGGCACTCTTGGAACTAAACTTGAAAGCAGTTCCAAAATAAGGACAGAATGTTGTTTTTATTATATATATATATATATATATATATATTGGATTGACTAATATTTGGCTTATTTTGGAGCCCATATTTTTCAGGACTTGACTACTTCAATGAAAAGTACATTTTATGTGTGCTTTTCCAAAAAGTAAATACCTAATTTCAGCTTTAAACACAAGGTATGCTCTGTCAATGCATTCTGTGCCATGCTGCCAATTATAACAGGAAATCATTTTTATTCTGTTTGTAAAAAAGATATGTGTATTAAATTATTAATGTGTGACTTCAAATATAAGTGCATAATATACTTTGTACTTCTTTTCAATAACTGAGTGCAAGGTGTAATGCAAATTTCTCCTGTTGTTACTTTGGATACTTTTGACTATTTTGTGGTCTAAACAGAAAAATACAAATGAAATGCAAAGTTATAGGATTTTAAATCTGATTTTAATATATATATATATATAATTATTTTATTTTTTGGGGGGGAATATGTTCTTTATTTTTCAGAATGTCGTCATTTTTCTTTCATTAAAAGTTCAATATTGTCCAATGTCCAAATATGCTAATTTTGCTCACTAAAACAAGTGTGAAACATGTATGATCCATATTGAAATTTATATCTATTAATAATACGTAATAGTAATAATATTGTATTTTATATTAATGATATAATGTAAATATTCCTAAAATATGTAAGCATCACATCAAGATGTCATGATGGATATAAGCAGAGACTACATTTAAAATTTTCTTTCCTTCAACACCGGGAGCTGCTCTTGAGTGTTGAATGAGAAATTCTCTTGGTATCATGCTCATATTACATTAGATACACAGGATATTGACTACTCTCTGAACAAACGGATCAGATTTCATCACTTTGAAAAATGCCAGTGCGAACAGTCAGCCTTAAAGATGGGATTTGATTTTGAAGTATAAAATCCTTTTTCTTTGTTTTTTCCCCCAGTTCCTCTGTCCTGCTCCGAGGGCTTCACTGAGCTGGGCTATTACAATGGCACCGTTTCTCAGACCGACTCAGGTTCACCCTGTCTGAAGTGGACTGAATTCCCAGATTACGTGCAGCAGTATCCGGGCAGGGGTCTGGGAGAGCACAATTTTTGTCGAAATCCTGACCGTGAGTCTAACCCATGGTGCTTTTTCAGACAGAGCTCAGGGGCCATTGGTTGGGCCTACTGCGACTGCCACCAAGGTGAGCCCTACAGTGTTTACAATTAATGGTCTGCTATGTTCCACTAGTGAGTTTAAAATATATCTTAAAGGGATAGTTCACTTTGAAATAAATTTTTGGTATGTTTTAGCTTACCTCAAGGGCATCCAAGATGTAGGTGTCTTTGTTTCCGCAGTAGTTTCAATTTTGATATTTTTAGGTCAAACCGTTCTTGTCTGTCAGTCATATAATGCATGTCTATGGTCACCACCTCAAAGAGCATGCACAGAGAAGTCCAAATTAAACATGATTTAATGACTCGTAAATGTAAGTACACATTGATGGCCTAAGACACGAAACGAGCAGTTTGTGTGAGAAAATGAACAGTATTTATATCGTTTTTACCTCTTGTAAACACAGCCACGTCCAAGTGATCTGACGGCGCCGGCGCTTCGGTCTTTTCCGGCAAGCGCCGAAGTGATCTCTCGCGCGTGTACGTCACTCATACAATTGTTTTATTTTTTATTTCTTTTAATTGTTTTCTTTTACGACGGTTTAAACATCCCGGATATGCGCAAATTAGTACCATTTTAATTAGTCGTCTTACCTATACAATCTCTGCTCTGTGTAAACAATGAGTGACGTACACGCGCGAGAGATCACTTCCGGCGCTTGCCGGAAAAGACCGAAGCGCCCGCGCCCTCAGATCACTTGGACGTGGCTGTGTTTACAAGAGGTAAAAACGATATAAATACTGTTCGTTTTCTCACACAAACCGCTCGTTTCATGTCTTAGGCCATCAATGTGTACTTACATTTACGAGTCATTAAATCATGTTTAATTTGGACTTCTCTGTGCATGCTCTTTGAGGTGGTGACCATAGACCTGCATTATATGACTGACAGACAAGAACGGTTTGACCTAAAAATATCAAAATTTAAACTACTGCGGAAACAAAGACACCTACATCTTGGATGCCCTTGAGGTAAGCTAAAACATACCAAAAATTTATTTCAAAGTGAACTATATCCCTTTAAGGAGGTGTCCCATTAGCCAAATCGAAAACAACCCATTTTTGCTCTTTCTAAAATCTCACCTTCACCCCCTGTAAATATGATATTAAGAGCAATCTACATTTCCTGTCATAGATTGATTTGCAGTAATGTGTTTTGGCAAATCAATTTGAAATTTGACATAATAACAACAGAAAAAACAGCAATTCAGGGTTATTTTACCCCATGATTTCATGCACAGGAATATTTATGCACATGCAGCTTTAATGAGATTTTTTTTTTCACTCCCGCAGTTTTATTTTAGCAGAAAAACGCAATCAGTGTTTGCGATATGTGGCTTTTCGTCTGCTAAAGAAAAAGTTTGGGTCATATCCATTTACTCATCAGGGAGTTTAGTCTCTGGGGCTGTTAAAGTTTCCCTGCAGAGAGAAACATGGCCGCTTATGACTGAAAATCAGCTAGTGCGACGTCAGCCTTTGATGTTGGTACATTTTAACATTCTTCAGCTGATAAATATGTGTTTTTACTACCTCTTTGAATGCTGTTGTCTTACTTCCCTTTCGGTCTCTCTTGGAAGACTGTTGTGTTTTGCAGCGACTTTATATTTAGAAATCAGTGGTTTACGTTCTTGAGAAGAATATTCTATCTCAGTTTGTATCTCAGGAAAATTATATAATGGTAAAAAAACAAAACAACATTGCGTTCTGTGTGCAGTGGAGACAAATGGTGGCTGTGACTTTGCCAAGTACGATGTGTTCCTGGATCAACATTCTGTTCCTGTTATCAAGCAATCACATATACTGTTAGGTTTAGGGCTGGGATTAGAGGCATGAATACATTGATAAGAACAAAATTCGTTTTTAGAATTTGCCTCTGATTTTAGGAGTTCATGCTGAGGGATCTGAATAAACTATTCGCACCACTAATACTCTGTACAGTATGTCTCCGTAAAGAAGCAATTCTGTCCAAATTCAGTTATATAAAATATACATTTGTATGTAAATACAGAATGAACAATGCTATTTTGAGCAGTTTTATTAAAAAAAAAATCTAAATCTTGACATTTTTGTTATCCTCCCTGTAAAGAATAAAATGGCCTTGATCGCTTTTCAGTAAGATTTTATAACTTTTGTTAATTCTTATTAAATTCTAGAAAACAGATAGGAATGAGAAAACTGGTTGTAAATAGGTTTATATATAGGTTTACAGAATTGGATGTGGTCAATTTCTAACAATTCCCCAGAACACCTAATTTGCTAACAAATTCATATCAATATGCTAAAAATAGTTCTGCATGGATTTCCTTTAGAATCTTTCAATTATTTCCTACAATTATTTTTATTATTATTTATAATATATGTGTGTGTATATATATATATATATATATATATATATATATATATATATATCTTACCTGTTCAGGAGCGGTCAGGTTAGCGGGAGGTTCGTCCTCAAATAGTGGCCGACTAGAGGTCTACCTGAACGGCCAGTGGGGGTCAATTTGTGACACGCATTGGACAGACCGTGATGCCAGTGTGGTTTGCCGACAGCTTGGACTGAGGTATGTTTACTTCTAATTAGGGCTGTCAGTTACTATCATTTAACTAGTTTAAGTATAATTCAGAAACCCTTGTTATTAGCGACACCGGTGGCCGTTAAGTGAACTGCAGCCAGCGAATTATTGCTCGTGCTCGCACTCGTACACACACACACGTGATACACAAGAGACTGGACATGATTTAATACCCTGATATACTCATGGCAAATCTTTTTTTCGTTCTTTCCTTAGAAGTAAAAAGAAGTTGGAAATACCTTTGCAGCGATAATGCTGTTAATGAACATCCAGGTGCTGCTGAGAGTGGCATTTAGATGAATGTAACAAAATAAACGTACAACAAAAATGATAGTGGTGAGAAAACAGCAGTTAAGAAAGCATCTGATCAAAGCCATGTGGATATGTTTGCACGATCAATTCACCAACATCACGACAGATGAGTTAATTAAAATGACACTGTTATGATAGTTTGAATATAAAGTATGTTTGAGACTATAGACTATATAGCCTAGATCTGGGGCCGTATTCACAAAGAATTTTATCTTACCACTAGGTGTACTCCTAAATCGCACTAAAATATTTTAGCTAGGAGTTTTCTCTTAAAAGTTATTCACAGCGCCTTTCAGACCTACTCTTAGTAAGGAAAAATGACAACTCCTAAACTAAGAGTGAGTCTTCGTTGCTATGGATGACGTCACTTCTCATGCACGAGCTTCCTCGCAATGATCACGGTGATTGGTTGTTAGATGACAGGGCCATCATGCGGAACATAACACAGACGCAACAAATCATGGAATTACGACATCTAAATATGTCTGTGTCCTACACAAAATAATAATAGTAATGTCATCGAAATGCATATATAATGACATGTTTGTGCAGGCCCCAGTGAAGTGTAATTCTAAAAAGGTAGAGAGAGAGAAAAGTCGTGAATTAAAATAAATTAAATCAAGGTAGCCTAATACCCCAATGAAAACCGTCACTTGCCTAATAATGAAAAACAACACTTGCATTAACACTTACTTGGTTAATTGACATCCTAGCCTAAATAGACTACTTAAAAGCAAGGAAATGTTGTTCTTATTGAAGTAATGTAATAGTTGAATGACAGTGGATTATAAAGTCGCCAAAACGTAAAAGAAAGCCCAACTGGACGCAGGATCAGTTACTGCTGCTGGCCGAGTTGGTGCTAAAAAAAAAAAAAAAAAAAAAAAACATAATAAAAGGGAAATTCGGCACTGGGATATCAAGCAAAACTAAGCGCGAGACATGGGAGAGGATTTGTTTGCAGGTTAATGCAGCATTCCCGCTTGTGTCGCGGACCCCGGGCGACTGCGAGAGGCGGTGGTGTGCGCTACGATCCTTTGTGAATAGGTCTTAGTGAGTTAGGAGTCCTCTCGACTTCTTTTAAGCTGTCCCAGACTTAGGTGCTACTTTTAGGGCTAAAATGCTTCGTGAATTACTCTTAGTGAAAAAAATTAGGCGTCCTAAAGTTAGGAGTGACACGCCCATTATTTTTAGGAGTTGCTCCTAAATTCGCCAGTTAGGAGCTGCTTTTAGCCTTAAAATTCTTTGTGAATACGGCCTCTGGCTATTGTGATACTATATTTTCAATGAATCCCTTTTCTTTGCATGACGGTCTCGTTTTTATAGTTTTGTTACAAGGTGTTCACACATTGGCAATGGCAATACAAAAAGCGATAAATACATTCTTACACATAGCCCATTTAATTTAGTACAATTAATTAAAGATAATGTGAAAATTATGCATTGACTGCCACAGTAAGGTAATGTCTTTGAATAATATACTAATTGTTTTTTTTTTCTCAACAAATATTGAAATATGTGATTATTTGCAATTAATTTGATTAATTAGTCATGTAAATAATTTAATACATTTCAGCCCTACTTTGGCCTGTCCTTTTCAGTGTGGTCAAAGTATGGTTACTCATTTGCATATTTAAATGAATTAAAATGTATACGTGTCTTCATATTTACTATATCTATTTTTGATTTAGCCTTTATAAAATGAGTGGGTTTAAAGCCTTATGCCACTGAACAGTGGAGGAAATAACTTGGTGTTTCTCTCTCTCTTCATAATTCTTTTCGTTTGTTGTAGTGAGATTGGCACAGCTCTCCAGCACTCATATTTTGGCCCCGGCTCCGGGCTTTTTCACTACGCCCGCCTTGGCTGCCGTGGTGATGAGAAATCCCTGCTGGAGTGCCGGAGCAGGAAGTTTGTTACTAGTGACTGTAACCATGGGAACGAGGCCGGAGTGCTGTGCGCACCACCTGAAGGTCAGTGTGCTTTCTGTGGGAGTGAAGCTAATGACCTTTTAAGTGACTAGTGCTGTAAACATTCCTGCATCTAGATGCACTCGCGAAAACCTTACAGCTGCCATCAAACTGAAAAAGTGTTTAATTTTCACGCATAGTGGTCACTACAGTGGACAGCTATTTAAAAAGCTTTTTCTTGAATTTGCAAGAGTTTTGATGGCAAAGACCCTGGTGCATCATCCTATACATTGCAACCAAGTTGTAAGCCATTGTGTTTTGATTTCTTCCCCCTCCAAACCAAGATGGCCAATGGTCAGTCAGACATGCCAAGTTGCTCCGGAATATCCACCCATTCTCTCTATCCTAGGAGACTCTTGTATGTAAAAAAATATTGCCGCATCAAGCAATATCTAATGAGTCATATCACAGTAATATTTTCCATGTTTTGATTTTAGATTGGGAGAAAAATCTGATTAATCACCTGTCCACTATAGTGGACCTCGTGCATCAATGGCTATATTTCAGCAACAATTCATACTTAAACTGTGAATATTGTTTTTGAAAATACTTTATCTGCAGTGACTTTTTTTTTTTACTGTAAATAAATGTATTTGTATTATTAGAATGTCATTTTCATTGACATTGAAAAAAGTTATGTAATTACATAATTTATGTGACTTGTAATGCATTACTTTACTCATTTCATCCAAAAAGTAATCTAATTACGTAAGTCATTACTTCTTAGATCAAAAAGTAATCTGATTACGTAATGCATGTTACTTGTAATGCATTACTTTACTTGTTAGATCAAAACGTAATCTGATTTCGTAATGCATTTTACGTGTAATGCATTACTTTACTTGTTAGATCAAAAAGTAATCTGATTTCGTAATGCATGTTATTGTAATGCGTTTCTTTACTCGTAATAACAAAAAGTAATCGGATTACGTAATGCATGTTACTTGTAATTAATTACTTGTTAGATCAAAAAGTAATCTGATTAGGTAATGCATGTTACTTGTAATACATTACTTTACTCGTAACATTAAAACAAATCTGATTATGTAATGCATGTTACTTGTAACACATTACTTTACTTGTAACATCAAAAAAGTAATCTGAATGCGTTATGCCTGCCCCAACACTGCTCATTTCAGATGAGATTTGAAAAAAACGTATCCCTAGGTTTTCTCAGAAGAGGGCTATGCTAGAAATGTGTCCATCTTGAACATAATCAGAATTATCAGCTAATAAGCACTAATATCAGCACACTGGAGGGAGCATCTGAGTGGTTTCCACAGTTGTACCTTGACAGGCTGTAGAGAACTCTGATGGAATCACGTCCTCATGTTCTGATATCAAAGATACACGAAGTGCAACTTGTATGAAGCTCAATTGCCTTTGCAATATTTCGGATTTATATATTTTTTAATATATTTAGTTTTCACATGATTTGATATAATTGTATTGATTAGTTTGTTAAATACACATACTTTATCTTTATTATTGTATTATGTTTAATACAGTATCTCTTCAGTTTAAACCATAAACGCATGCAAAATCTCTTTGAAAAATTTGTTTAAAAAAAAAAATCAAATCAAATCTTGTTTTTCATGCCCTAAGAGCAATAAAAACACATAGGAAAAAAAATCCTGACTGAGGTGATCATAATTCATGCATGAAAGGGTTAAATAGGATACAAAGATCATCAGGGTTAATCAAAGTCTGGTTCTGAGAATTCAGTTTCCGCCTCCATGTGTGCGCGGTAAGTGTATACTGCATACGACAAAGAAGATTGCTCCCATTATAATCAACAAAGCGGTCTGCGAGTGCTTATAATGCGAGCATCCTTTTTTTTTTCGTGTTGTGTCATTTTCCCGGTATTGTCGTGTACTTCACCTTTTTGCTTGCTTGCAGCGCAGACTGGCTAATCAAATTACATTCAGTGGCAGATTTATTCACAAAAGTTTTTGCTCAACTTTTTTTAATTACCTTGACATAAAACATCAGCATATGCAAATACTATCATCTCTGATTGATGAAATTCCCCTGACATGTTCACTTGTTAAATATTTGGACTTTTATTTTGGACTTTTAGAGTGAACTAATTAATGTACTTTTTAATGTAAAACCAAATGAAAAATGACTATTTATTCACTGATCACCCTGCAGTTTCTAAAAGCTGCCCTGGAGCAACATCATTTGAGTATCTCGGATCTAAAATGAATTTTAAGACAAAAAACCACAGGGTGTGTGATAGAACATCATGAAGACAATTATGTTATCTTTGAATTGCCGTTATTGCAGCTTCTTTGTCCATTCATATTGACTTACTAAATTGGCGCAATAGCTGAAATTAGAAATTTTAATGAAATATTTCAGTGGGGGCTTATACAATCAAAAGAGCCATACTTTCGTTTGTAGAAAGGAACAAAGGGGGTAAAATAACGAGAAAATAGGTTGGAAAGCAAATCAATGGCGTCTGACCTCATGATTGCCCTCTGAGAGCTTTATTGAAGACACAGTCCGAGGACACACGGACAGATGTGCTCTGTGCTGGGTTACCAGGGCAGCAAAATATGTTTTTTAGCCCTTGAATGGGTGCATATAATGCATTCCTGATATGAATTATTATTATTATTATATATTAAATATTTATGACAACTGCACATATATCTAATTGTAGTTGTAGTGATTCTGGGTTTGCTTCAGGACCCAGATTTAAAATTTTAAAACACACTACCAGTTGTTTATTGTACATAATTATTATCATACAATAGTGAAACTGCATAGAAACCCAACAATACGCAAATGCAAATGGATCGGTAAATTTTTTTTTGTTTTAAAAAAAAAAGTCTTATTCTTACCAAGGTTGCATTTATTTGATCAAAAATACAGCAAAAAGATTATTATTATTATTACAATTTAAAGTCCCTGTTTTCTATTTAAATATATTTTAAAATATAATTAATTCCTGTGATGTCAAAGCTGAATTTCAGCATTATTACTCCAGTTTTTAGTGTCACTCGATCCTTCAGAAATCATTGCTGCTCAAGAAACATATTTTTCTGGATTCTTTGATAAATAGAAATTTAAAAGAACAGTATTTATTTGTAATAGAAATCTTTTGTTACATTATAAATGTCTTTACTCTCACTTTTGATCTGTTTAATGCACCCTTGCTTGATGAAAGTTTTCATTTCTTTAAAAAGCAAATCTTACTAACCCAAAATCAACAGCAGATTTCTCCATGAACCAGTATTTAATGTAACCTGGGTTATTTTCCTTTACTTTTGTTTTTCCCTAAAAGTTCAGACTTTAGTCTGCATTATTATAGTTGCATTCTTTTTTTTCCACTGCCTTCTGCAACCCTATTAGAAAAGACCCGCAACCTATCAGTTAAGAACCGCTGGGTTATTGCACAGAGAGAGAGAGAGAGAGAGAGAGAGAGAGTATTGCATGCAGAGCATTCTGGGTGTCACTACATTTATTGATGTGTTTGTGGCTTTGGGTCATGATTCCTGGTTTGCTCGCTCAGGTAATGGACCGCCACTGCGGCTGGTTGGTGGGGAGGAGGACTTTGAGGGACGAGTTGAGGTCTTCCATGATGGGCGCTGGGGGACCATTTGTGATGATCAGTGGGATGACATGGATGCTGAGGTGGTCTGCAGGCAGCTCGGATTGGGGTGAGTCCAATATACAGCTAATACATCAAATACTTACTGTACACACCCCTGTCATGAATATACAGTGGATGGTTTCAGAGTAATGCATCAGGCTTGTAACTCCTACCTTTACTAACTGCCTTTTGCAAACATTTTTTTAAGGTTTTAAAGGTGACCTATTATGCTTTTTTACATTTTCAACTTTCTTTGGTGTTATGTTGGTATTTGAGCATGAAAAGTTACAAAGCACAATTCAAGGGGAGTTATTCTCTGTATCAGTAAGCACTGTTTCTGAACTCCCTGAAAGGCCTCGGTTGTAGTCTTTAGTTTTCTTCCAGAAATGTACATATCACAGTATTTCCCATTTAAATAATTCCCACTCAAGGCATACGCAAAAAAGGGGCGAGGCCTGGTTGAGTTTTGCATTTATCGCCGCAATCAGACGCTGTTTTTTCCACCCTGAAACTGATAAAGTAAAACTGATGCCATTGTTAGTGTTTACACCTGAGAAGCTGAAACTTGCTGTTATGGTAAGAGAGGCGTGTCATTTCCGCTCAAAGTGGTTGACCATTCACAACACATTGTTCCTGCAGACCAATCAGAGCACAGAGAAAGGAACTAAACAGGATGTTACTGACAGACTGGAAGAGACAGCTGTTGCAACAATGATTTTTGTTTTTGTTTTTTGAGCATTCAAGCATGAAAACCTATTCTAGTATTCCCAAAAACAAAATCAAGACTGTAAAATGGCACAATATGGGCTCTTTAAAGAATCAGTAGCACTGTTCTTTTTTCACAACGCACAAAACTTAGGAGCTCGTGTGAGGTATTTTCATCCCTGTGTTCTCTTATCTCGATGAGAGGAAGATTGAATTATTTATTTTGCGCTGTTGTATTATTTGCTCTCTTACACCATCTCATGTTGTTGCAGCAGTTGTAGAGAATAAAGACGGTGAGATGGCACATGAGCACAGACTCGCACCGCTGCTGCAGAGATGATACGCACGACTTCAGTTACTGCAGCATTAAAGCAATGGAATGATGAGTTTGTCAGTTATAGTTACAACAAAAAAATGTGTTCGCTTTCAAACTGAATGTGTAGTAAGAAAGCCTGGCTAACGTCAGACCACGTCTCATTGAGATTGAGACGTGGTCTGGGAACCACATGTTCATTTTCTCGTATTTGAGGCGTGGTTTACGAATGCCCAGAGCCGTTTATTGGGTGCTACGAATGTCTATCAAATGCGCCTGTACAGCTCATAGCCAATCGTTTCAATTATACCAGATGATGTATGTACAGCGACAGAAATTAGACGAGGAAGAAGACGATGGGTCAGAGATGTATGTGTACACGATGGCGTATGTATCTAAGGCTGCATCAAAAGGTATCTTCGCGTCTGCTGCCATGTTTGATCCATAGGTATAAACAAACTGCTTCGGTGTATCGCATAGACGTCGTCATCGTCTTGCTGCTCCCTCCCTGTTCTGTGATTGGTCCCCTCGCTGAGCCGAAAATCTGGTCCATGGAATCCAGACTGCCTAGCCTGGGAAAACCCAGACAACTTCCGGCAAATTTAGATATGCTCTGAAAGTTAGTCTTGCAAAGAGCTCATTCAAGCTCATTTCCAATCCTCTGAAATCGAGGCACCAATCAGAAACGTTGGGGCGGGCTTTACACGATGACGACAGCGCTGGGATTTTGAAGCAGATTTTGTAGCCTACATTACAAAGATGGATGCCGCCGTCGAACATCACTCGTTCGAATCAGCTATCGCGTCTGTTTTAAGCGATTTGAACGTTTCCCTTTTGTTAAAAACCGAGCAAAGAACAACACTCGGAGATGTTTCTCCGCCGCTCTGCATACGTCATCTCCTTCATCACTCTGATTGGTTTTAGGTCTATCCGCGACGTCCGTTGGTGACGCCCCTCTGGAAATGATTTGTCTATGATGCTTTGCCAGACCATAACTCAGTTACAACTGAGAATGGTCTGGTTTTAACCAGGCTACAGACTGCCTAGCAGCGTGAATAAAATCGCGCTGCGCAAAGGCAGCATGGGGAAACCCAGGCTAGTAGTAAGAAGCATTTTAAATGGTTTCCCACTGAAACTAAGCAGGGTTGAGTCTGGTCAGCACCTGGATGAGAGAACACCTAACGCTCCTGGTGAGGAGGAGGTGTTAGTGAGGCCAGCAGAGGGTCCTCCTCACCCTTAGCTCTGTGTTGGTCCAGTATATTAATGTGGATAGTGTTCAGCAAAAAGGCACCGTCCTTCTGATAAGATGTTAAATTGAGTTCCTGACTGTCTGTGGTCAGTAAAAATCCCCATGGTGTTTCTTGAAAAAAAGAGTTTGGCTGTAATTCTGGCATCTTTGCCCTCAGCCTCTATCCATCATGGCCTCTTAATCAACCCCAAATACAGACACAGGCTGACTACATCACTCTTTGGATTCCCCCTCACTCACTCTGTAAAGCACTTTTATTTATTTATTATATTATAAAGGGGAACTTGATTTAAAAAAAAAAAGAATTACATTTACCATTTAAATATATTGAGATTGACTTAACCTTGTGAAGTCTACTTATATTTTGACCATTTATGTCTTTGTGTGTGTCTAGGGGGATCCCCAAAGCCTGGTCATGGGCTCATTTCGGCCAGGGCAGTGGGCCGATCCAACTGGATGCAGTACAGTGCACAGGCAATGAGCTCTCTCTGGACGAGTGCCGTCACAGCGGATGGGAACAACACAACTGTGACCATATGGAAGATGCTGGGGTGTCATGCAACCCCTATTCAGGTCTCGTCCTTTACATAGACACACACATACAAACACTTACAGCCCTACATACCTGATTCTGATTGGTCAACTGCAATATTCTCTATAGTTGACCCTAGTAAACTTTTTTACGTAGCTGTGCTAGTTTTATATATTTTGTATCACTCCATGGTTTCTCTCTTCTCGCATTAAAAAATAATTTCAACTTAATATTTAATGTCTACTTATTTATTTATCTGGTAAGTAGCCTTGTAAATGAGATAATGTACAACAAACAAAATAAACCCTATTAGGATGAAACAAGACCCCTTCTCTTCGGTTGACTGTACTTTGTCACTTTCCATTGGCCATACAGAAACAGTCCAGAGAGGAAATGTGTGTATAGTGTGTTTTTTAATATGTATTCAGATGGCGTGGTGAGACTGGTAGACGGTGATAACCCATGGGAAGGTCGTCTGGAAGTATATCACTCCGGGGACTGGGGCACAGTGTGCGATGACAGCTGGACGGAGCAGCATGCGCAGGTGGTCTGCAGACAGCTGGGATTCAGGTGCTATTCTTTAATTCTCCAGTAGCTGTGAATATACAGTAGAATATACAAGAAATCCCTAAAGTTAGGAAAACCCATATTATGACTATTAGGATTTGTTTTGCAAATGGCTGTAGGGGATTAGTAATTAAAAAATCTCTTAGAAGTGTCCTACTCAACAATAGTGAGTGTCCAATGTGGGTGTCCACATTCTCTATATGTTCTATATGCATACATAAAGAATTTTGTGGGAGATTTTCAAGTGGCTATTGGGGATTTATCATGAGTGTGTATGTCCATGTAGGGGCGGTGCGGAGGTCGCACCCTCTGGCGCGTTTGGAGAAGGAACGGGGCTGATTCTGCTGGACGATGTGGAGTGTGAGGGGAGTGAGAGCTCTTTGCTGGAGTGCAAACATAGCGTGTGGGGTCGACACGATTGCTCTCATAGCGAAGATGTTGGAATACGCTGCCACAGGGTAGAAAACAATGAGGTCCCGCTGGCTCCAGAAAGTACTGGTAAGTTATCTCGAATATACTAAAATACGCTTCAGTGTGCATGAGTAGGGCTTTGTGTGAGGTACAGATGTGTTTTGCTGATAGACTTCTCTGTCTGTGCCGTTTTGACCCCTTCTGAAATTCACAGGGGTTTTAAATGTCATTTGTTGACAGAGGCCAGGAATAAACGCGGCCATTGTAGTTTACCAAGCACTCGCTTTTATTGATAAAAAGTTCCATTTGAATTTCAATAATGTATTGTGTAGCACTTGGCGACCACAACACTACCTTTGACATTTTACTGTGTAGTATTAGACAAACATGATTTTTTTGTATCCCCAAACAAACACCATTTCAATTTAAACTCCATTATTATATAACATCACTGCTCTTTTTGCTCCCAGCCTGTGACATTTTGGATATGTTTGAAAAGGTATGTTTGAAATATAAGGTACGAAAGACAAGGTTGTTGTTGGAACAATGTTGAATGTTCCGTCAGTGTTTCTGTGACTGTGATAAAACATGACAAAGTTTGTCAGAATGAGAAAATTCATGATTTTATTGGATCTAAAAGGTCATACAATGTCTCTTTTTATAATAAAAAAATGTTAGAGCCTTTGATGTAACATTTGAGTTTCCACCTTAGAGGGGAAAAAATGAAATGGTACTATAATTGTGACTTTATTTTAAATAACGGATACTTTTTACACTACCCTTTAAACGTTTGGGCTAAGTAATTTTTATTTTTTAAGAAATTAATACTTGTATTTAGCAAGGACACATTAAATTGAATAGAAGTGTCAGTAATAATATTTATAATGTTACTTAGAATGTTAAAAGATTTCAATTTCAAATAAATGCTGTTCTTTTGAACAGTCTTTTCATCAAAGAATCCTGGAAAAAAATTTATCAAGGTTTCCCCAAATATATTAAGCAGATAATAATAAGATCTATTTTTTGAGCAGCAAATCAGCATATGATGATTTCTGAAGGATCATGTGACACTGAAGACTGGAGTAATGATGCTGAATATTCAGCTTAAAAAGGGAAAAAAGTCGGTACACCATGGCTCCAAAAAAACTCACACACAGGTGGTAACGTTTGGAGCACGTAGGCTCTTCATCAGACAATTAAAAGTTAAACACACCACGCCATTATACTCACAGGTGCTATGCGCTATGCTCTATGCTCTTGCTCTAAACCGGTCTGATAAAATAGACGCTTGATGTTGAAAATCACTCTCTTTACTACAAATACGACGTATGCGACTGAATTGAGAAATAGGTAAAGAACATTTTAATGACTCAGGATGGTAAGATGTACCATGCAACAATGTGTTGCGATCAGTAGGTTTTCGATACAAGCTTGTCTCAAGACCAGATACAGACTTGATAACGAACACATCTAAAAAGTTATTTTTTTCTTTATGGAAGTCAATGGTGAATTTCAGTGCACTGCAGTTATTATGAACCAGTTTTTGTGAAAATCTAACAACTCAGACACAGTACCATTCCATACAATTCGGCTTTGCCATCACAGGAATAAATTCAAATATAATTTTAACATTAAGAAATCGTACTGCCTCCAAACTTCTGAATGGTAGTGTATATAACAATGTGGGTTTTTTTATTTATACATTTTTTATTTTACAATTGCATCTTTATTTCTCATAATTGATCTCATAATATTCACCTTATATGCTGTAATTATGGCTTTATGTTTCACAATGTAACTTAATATCTCAAAATGCGACTTTACCTCTTTAAATTTTATTCTAAACTTTATCCCACAATTAACAGAGGGCAGAAACAGGCTTCCATGTTAAAGTGAATATTTACTGATGAAAAAAAAAAACATCCAAAAAAATCAGCATAAAATGTAAATCATAAAAGTGGACTAACAAGCTAATGTTGAACGTATTTGTTTCCTGTCTGTCCTCGGATCTCTTCCTTCTTACCTTTTTATTTTTACAGATAATAAACTGCACAAAGCTGAATATACAATATACACAGCCTAACCAAAAAAGTCGCTGTTTGGATTTAAATAGGCAAATGCTTAAGAGTCAATGATTGGATCATTATTGCAGTGATCATTATGTTTCTAGCATGTTATATGTTTGGCAACAGTTCTTCTAACCCTAATTAATGGAGTGTGTAGCTTTTCATTTCTTAAACAACCATGTAGCAAGACACATCATGACCAAAAATGTATGCACCTCTTGATGAAAAATAACATCACCACATTTATTTCCATCAAACAGTGTATCAATATTTGGTCAATATCTTGTATTGACAATGCAAGAGTCAAGCACTCTGTAAAGTCTCCTCCAGCACATCCCAAAGACTTTCAATGTCTTCCCTCCCAACCGTTCTTTCACAGTTTGAGCCTGATGAATCTTGACATTGTCATCCTGGAATATGGTCATGATGTGTCTTCCTACAAAAACTACACACTCCATCAATCAGGGTTAGAAGAACTGTTGCCACACATACACCATGCTAAAAAAATAATAATCATTGCAATAATGATCCAATCATTGACTCATTTGCCTATTTAAATCCAAACAGGGACTTTTTTTTTTTTGGCCAGGCAATGCACTAGGGGGAGCTATACTGTAACTCCTGTTTATTAGCTAAATGTTGTTTACTAGCTGGTATTAGTTACTAGGTGAACAACCACCCTTGCTTCTCATTAAACCATTTACTAATGATTTAAGTGCTGCACGTAGCTCACGGCAGCGCAGGGTGTATAGCAATGGGTTAATGCCTGAATTCAGCAGACATAGAGTACTGCAGAAAGCAAATGCCCTTTTCTGTGGTTTTGAAAGCTCTGTCGTAACAACATCTGTCATCATGAAGGAAAGGACAGGCAGCCAGCACACCAACAGAATCAGAATTATACAGCTAAAAGTCTTTGCCAAATGGATGTCAATGCGCATGCGTGCTAGCCCTGGATGTTCAACGTTCATGTTGGCTTCATGTTGGTGGGCCCACCACACAATCAAGGCATAGGCTACCAGTATGAGGACGAGCACCACCAACACAAGACAGGCAAAGAATGCAAGGTAGTTACGATCCACGTACGGAAAGAGATGGGACTGCGAGCACGATAGACAAGTCTGACAACTCCAGCCCATCAGAGGAAGGAGGGAAATGAGGGCAGCCAAGGGCCATAATGTCAGAATTCCCACCAAGGCTCTTTTCCGTGTCAGCTGCATCTTGTAGGTAATAGGCTTGTAGATGGCGTGATAGCGGTCTACTGCCATCAAAAGCAGACTTCCAACCGAGCCCGTAAACGCCATGGTCACGCCACTCAGCTGAAGCAGATACTTTGTTCTCGGAAAAGAGTCGTCCTGTTTAAAAAGGTGGAAATCCAGGAAGGTGATGGTGAAACAGCAGCTGGCAATGGTGTCAGCTAGTGCCAAGCTGCCCATAAACTGGTATGACGGATGTCGCCTCAGGTTCCCAGAGCTGGCTATGACAACCAGAACAAGCACATTGACCAGGAGGCTGAAGGGTGCGATCATGAGACAGATCGTGCCAATGGCCACCTTCTCTGTGCTGCTTAGCACCATGTAGATATTTGTGCAGTTTGTCATTTTAGTGATAAATCTGTTTGCTTGCAGCTAAATCTGTGGAAAAACCGTGTTCATTATCATTTTAGATTTACACAATTTGCTAATGCAGTTATTTTGTAGTATTACTCACCTGTACGAATCCGTTATAAAATGTGTTTGTTCCTTGTTGTCACTTCTAACCCATTATAGCATGTTACACAGAAAGGAAGTAAGGGAGAAAAAAAAGCCAACATAGCCATTTCCTTTGTGGTTTTGAAATCCGAGGCCAAGCATCTGCAATTTTAATCTCTTAACTAACTGCCTACACACATTAATAATAATAATTATTATTACCATGATTATCATTATTATTATAAGTGTATGTGTATTTAGAGCTAGACAGATAGATAGATAGACAGACAGACAGATAGACAGACAGATAGACAGATCGATAGACAGACAGACAGACAGACAGACAGACAGATAGATAGATAGATAGATAGATAGATAGACAGACAGACAGACAGACAGACAGACAGACAGACAGACAGACAGACAGACAGACAGACAGACAGACAGACAGAGACAGACAGATTTAAATCCATGTTTAGATGCCTCTTACGTTATGTGGTGATTAGTGTGGTTTTCAATATGAAGGCTTACATTTTCAGACACTGACATTGTATTCATGTGTGTGTGCAGTCTGTTGAAAAATCTATTTTATTTGTTTGACTATTTAAGATTTTGACATGAAATGCACAACAAATTTTACTTTTGGAATGTGACATATTTTTGAGTAAAATATTCATAAGCACAATGAAGCGCAGGACTTTATTCCTTTAGGAATTGATTGGATTGTGAAAGTAGGGGCGTAGACATTGCAGATTGAAAGGAGGGGTTGAAAAATAAGAGATGTTAAAGACGCTAGCTGAAAAAGAAAGATGCTTTTTTTCTGGAGTAAAATTATGCACTGATGAATACAGTAAGACCATGATTGTATATTAAGAAAGTAATTAAGGCCCATTTAGATGTCCTGAGGACACTATGAATTGCTTAAAGTCCCCCTGTAGTCAATCATTTTATCCCTTTAAACTTATCTTTGATTACCAAAATGACACATTTAACCGTTTTTTTCCTTGAAAAAAATTCCCCATACCTTAAAATAGTTTGAATGTAACTCAGGGATCAAACAAACGTGACTGGTTACAAATCGTCAGAAACACCAGCGATTTCAAAACGCGTTTTTGAGACTGTCTTTGGTTCATTGCAGTTTCATGAATTTACACATGGTTTGTCTCAAAGCGTATTAAAAACACCACAATGGCATATAAACAACATTAAACAATTGATTTTAACCACAGGGGGACTTAAACTGAAACCTTAATATGAGGCCTTTACACTGACTGTTAAAACCATGTGTGTTGTGCACGTCATGTTGTGGTTTAAGCTACACAGCTAACAGATCGGATGTGGTCCTTCAGTCTGGAATCAAATGAATTTATTCAATCATTTCTGTCTTTCAGTTTATTCCATCCACGTACTGGAACTGCCTACATCATAATAAGCTTAAATGGAAAATTACTTCCTTCACTTGTGGGGATATATATATATATATATATATATATATATACTGTGTGTGTATATATATATATATATATATATATATATATATATATATATTTTTTTCATATATTTTTAAAAAGATGCAGAGTACTCCAAGTGACAAAATCTAAGTTTCTATTTTGCTTGCTTTTCTGTGGTTTCAGGACCTCTGGTACGATTGGCAGGTGGCGACAATAGAAAAGAGGGCAGAGTGGAGGTGTTTCTTAACGGAGAGTGGGGAAGTGTCTGTGATTATGGCTGGAATGATGTCAATGCTGTTGTCGTCTGCAGACAGCTTGGATTCACGTAGGGAACCATTTGCAACATCTTAGCTCTAAAGCATCTCATAATCAGTACCGTGGAATATGATTCATTATCATTCCTCAGTCATGATGAATGGAGATAAGAATAAGTCTTTAAATGTTTTTATACTCTCTATGGCAGTGGGGTGTCAAAAGCGCGGCCGATGGGTTATTTCGGAGCAGGGAAGGGGACCGTCCATCTGACCAATGTGAGGTGCACTGGGAAGGAGTCGTTCCTCGGAGAATGCCCTTCTAAAGGACAAGACAGCCACGCTTGTAAGCACGGACAGGATGCAGGTGTAGCGTGTGATTATTTGCCGGAGCCAGAGGCTGACATAGCAGTGGTGGGCACACACACCTGCGGTTTGAGAGCTGGCGCTGAGAGACGCAGCAAGAGAATTGTGGGTGGATACAAATCTCTCAGGTAATCACATTTTTACTGCTGTGGAATCAGTTCTACAACACATGTCGTGGATATTTTTCAAAATGGATTGCAAATACAAGTACAAGTAAGTAAATACAAGCAAATACATACTACACTCTTAGAAAAAGGTTAAATTAGGTTCTATACAAAACCCTATGGATTTTGACTCCATTTTAAAGGACCCTTTATGCCCAAAAAGGTTCTATTTAGGAGAAATGCCTTAAAATATTGCATTTTTAACAGGTTATTTCATGATGAAGTATGTTTACAAGTCGTTTAATTCATAAAATGTAATTAAAATTAAAAATTAATTGAAACAAAATGAATTAAAACTAAATTCATTAAATTATCCCATGATGGGAACCCCTAAAAGGTTCTATATATATGTGAAGCGCTTGACAGAACCCTTTAATGTTCTATATAGAACCTTTTCTTCAAAGAGTGTAGTTAAAGAGTTAAATGAAATTGTAAAAATGATATTTCTTTCTCTCAGCTTTCCAGATCCCCTCATCTGCAATTGGTCAGTTAAATAGATAATCCCACCCTAAACTCACGACATTGCAGTGTTGTTATTGATAACTAAAATGAAAACTATTAAAAATCACTTTTGGTCATTGAAATAAAATAACATTTAAATATCGAAATTTATGGAAACTTTAATATTGTCTTTGGCAACAAACTGAAATAAATTTAATTAAAGTTTAAGTTAAAATACTAACATTACTAAAACTGAAATAAAAATAAATTAAAGCTAAATGGAAAATAAAAATAAAGCTAATTTAAAATGTGAATAAATACTATAATAGTATTTAATACTATAACACTAAAATAACACTGTACCACTGGTTAAGCGAGTGTTGCTGTTTTTATAGTGCCACAAACCCTCAGTGTTTACACTTTTGGGGAAAGCTAACCTACAAATAGCTTATTTATGGTTGTCTCTACAGATTAAGGTATAAGGTATAAAAAAAATTACATGCTTCACTTTTGAATGATTTTTAATTGATAAAATACAATTCTGACACCCTACTTCTTCCCAAATGAATATGACAGTGTCTATTTCTTGACCTCATCCAGTGTGTGTGTGTGTGTCCCGCAGGGGTGACTGGCCCTGGCAGGCGTCCCTGTGGCTCAGATCTCAGTCTAAAGGGAATCAGCCTCTGTGCGGAGCGACTCTCATCAACTCCTGCTGGCTGCTCACTGCAGCTCACTGCTTTAAACGGTAAGAGAGACACTTGCTGGACATCAGTGGTACTAACTGCTATGTCTGGGCTCTTCAGCTATAACCTCAAGGGCCAATTTCGACTCTATAATCATTTTTAACTGATTGATTTTGATTAAATCATTGAAACTGCAAAAATAAGAAACACTCTGCAATCATGAAAATTATAAAGCACAATCTGCACTGCGAAGTACAAAATATTTTCAGGACAAGGGAATGCTCATTTTTCTTCACTGGCAGACTTAAAGGATTAGTTCACTTTTAAAAAAAACTTTTGCTGATAATTTACTCACCCCCATGTCATCCAAATGTCCATGTCTTTCTTTCTTCAGTCGAAAAGAAAAAGGTTTTTGATGAAAACATTCCAGGATTTTTCTCCATATAATGCACTTTACTGGGCACCAAACGGTTCAAGGTCCAAAAGACAGTTTCAGTGCAAACTGCAAACTGTTCAAATGGCTTTAAACGACACCAGACGATGAATAAGGGTCTTATCAAGCGAAACGATCGCTCATTTAAAAAATAAATAACAAAGTTTAAGTTTTATAAGCTCAAATGCTCGCCTTGCTCTGTTCTGTGTGACTCTCCTGTTCGAACTCGTTCATCAAAATGAACGAATCTTTTTCCGAGTCAATTCGTTCATTTCGTTCGTTAAATGAACCAAATGACTCGAAAAAAGATTTGTTCATTTTGATGGACGAGTTCGAACAGGAGAGTCACGAACGTGCATCACAGAACAGAGCAAGGTGAGCATTTGAAATTATTAAACTTAAACTTTGTTATTTATTTTTGAAATGAGCGATCGTTTCGCTTGATAAGACCATTATTCATCGTCTGGAATCGTTTAAAGCCCTTTGAACAGTTTGCAGTTTGCACTGAAACTGTCTTTTGGACCTTGAACCGTTTGGTACCCAGCAAAGTGCATTATATGGAGAAAAATCCTGGAATGTTTTCATCAAAAACCTTAATCTTTTCGACTGAAGAAAGAAAGACATGGACATCTTGGATGACATGGGGGTGAGTAAATTATCAGCAAAAGTTTTTTTTAAAGTGAACTAATCCTTTAATGATTTAATGTACAGTTCTAAATGAAATAAAATCTCCCTATGTGGGTTGAATATATGGGCTTTAACAGTTAAATTTTCTTTAGTTCCCTAATTTGTCTTAAAATGGCTAAAAATCTGATAATTATTCTGAAAAATGTTTGTTGCCCCTCAGATTTTTGGTCCGCAATAAATGTAGTTGAAGAACACTGGCATGTGTATTTCAGATGTCATCTGGCACAAATACATTAAAAAAAGTTTTCATTTACATATAAAAACTTTCTAAAGCTTTATTTACCAACACACAAACTACTAATTGTAATACCAAATATATGTATTTTACACTACTGTTATTTTTTTTTAAATTTATAAATTAATACTTTTATTCCGCACGGATCCATTAAATGAATCAAAAGTGACAGTAAAGGCAAGGCAAGGCACTTTTATTTATAGAGCACGTTTAAAACACCCACTGCTGACCAAAATGCTCTACAATCACTTCAGACAATAAAATACATAAATACATAACCAAACAGGAAACACACACAAATTCATAAAAAGATGTGGCGAAATCATGCAGTCTGTGATGGACAGATTGATAACGGCAGGAAATCCAAACATTCGCCTATCATTCATCAACCTCAAATATGGCTTATCACTTGAAACAATTGTACAAGTCTGCTTGCTCTAATGTTAACCGAGATAAATGTGCGCTATTATTAGACGCATAAGTGTTTGTGTGAGTGCTGCATTACACACAGGCACCGGCACCATTGCCTTTAACTTAAAATACTCCATCATATTTGGTCATTCAGATAAGAGGAATGCAAACTGTAAAGGGTCTACTTTTGTAAAATAATGAAAACAATCAGGATTCGCTTTCTGACGTATTGGTCTCAGTCACGTCCCAAAACGAACCGAAACTCAGTGGATACTTGCCTCACAGACATGAGAAATATGTCTATAGAAAGCTTGAAATATCTACTTTTAAATAAACCAAATTCAAATGGAAAATAAATATTCTCTGATTATGTAATCCGTATGGCAGCTAGGCGTGTCCACTAGCTACTGCGGAGATGACGAGTCAGCATCGTGACTTAATCTCTGCGGGCCAAAAACACAGAAAACATTATCAATAAATTATTAAAATGTTTAGACAGTCTCCTCCGTTTGTTTTTACGACACACTCATAATCATCACTATTGCCGGTGGGCTGTGGCAAGCTTTATGAGTGTGTTTGAGCGCTGGTTAGGCTATGTAATATATAGCCTAGGCAATAAGGCTCGTTTGATTAATGGCTTATTAATATAAATGCACGATTAGTTGACTAATCGCTTAAACGAACGACTACTAGTCGACTAGAAAAATCTTTAGAATCTTTAATCTATAAATTGTCATAATATTTCACAATATTACAGTTTTTTTATTTTTAGTAAAATAAATGTAGCCTCTGTGAGCATAAGATATTTTTTTCATTAACAATAAACAAATCTTACTGACCACAAACGTTTGAGCGGTAGTGCATGAATTTATGTAGCAGTGGAAAGACTGAAATGGCAGTACATCACCTGTAATATGAATGAATGTCTTGATTCTACAGGTTTGGCAGTGATGCTTCACGGTACGTGGTGAAGCTCGGGGATTATCACACGCGGGAACAGGATGATTTTGAACGTGTGCTCTCTCCAGAGCGCATAGAGGTGCACAGGAAGTACCGAACGGAGAGCTGGGAGCATGACGTGGCTCTGGTCCGGCTGAAGGGCGCCGAGGGGAAGTGCGTGGCCTTTAACCCTCATACTAACGCCGCCTGCCTGCCTGCACCTGGCAGCAAGTGGGGCAAGAGACCTGCGTCTTGTGTCATCACTGGCTGGGGAATGACAGGTAATGTTGGGTTGTTCTTACATGGGCACAATATTGGCAGGTCATGAAATGAAACACACACACACACACACACACACACACACACACACACACACACACACACACACATATGTATACATATACACTCAAAAGTTTGGATTCTTTAAGATTTTTTGGTAACACTTTATTTTGATGGTCCCTTTTGAACATTCTGTGAACTGTAAGTAACGTTACACCTATGTGTCAACTAACTCTCATTAGAGTATTAGTAGATTGTCTGCTTAATATCTGCTAACTCTTTATTTTGTTGCTCCCCAACAGATATTCTACTGACTATAAGTAACTTTGCAACTACATGTCAAACTTATTCTAACACTAGCCTTACCAGTCTACTAATACTCTACTAACACTCTAGTCTCTTATGTACACCAAGGCAATATTTATTTTATAAAAATACAGTTATATTATGACGTATTATTACAATTTAAAACAATTGTTTTCTATTTTTAATAGATTTTAAAATGTAAATTATTCCTGTGATGGCAGAGCTGAATTTTCAGCATCATTACTCCAGTCTTCAGAGTCACATGATCCTTCAGAAATCATTCTAATATGCTGATTTGGTGTTTAAGAAACATTTCTTATAATTATCATTGTTGAAAATCTGTCCTGCTTTATATAAAGGCTATATATATATATATATGTGTGTGTGTGTGTGTGTATATATATATATATATATATATATATATACTGTATATATATTGTGTCTTATTGTGCACGATTCATCAATCCATGTTATAAAATGGATTATCTTTTTATAACAAATATCTTCTTTTGTTTGGAACAACATGAAGGACAGAAATGTCATTTTGGGGTAACTGTTCCTTTAAATGTGCTGCAAATGGTGTCTTACCATTTGTTTTCCCCATATTTTTCAGACACTGAGCATCCCAGCACTCTTCTTCAGGCCTGGGTTCCTCTTCTGCCCTCGTGGCAATGTAAGAAGCGCTATGGCGAGCGTTTCACAAGCCACGACATGCTGTGTGCGGGCAGCATGACGTCTGACCTGAGAAAGCATGCTGACAGCTGCCAGGGCGACAGCGGGGGTCCGCTAGTGTGTCAGGGCGAGGCAGGGCGCTGGGTACTGACAGGGGTCATTTCCTGGGGTCACGGCTGCGGTGACCCCTCGTACCCAGGTGTGTATTCACGGGTCAGCCGTTACCTGCTCTGGATCGAACAGGTGACACACAGCACCGCCCCTCTTCAGCACTGAAGCACCACTCTCTCGGAAAACCACCCGCCCGTCACACCTCAGAGACCCAGGACTCTATGAAAGGAAAAACAAGAGCCTGAGAGTGTTTAACACCTGCTATATGCTTTCAACACCCTGGATCTTAATTCCTCTGTATTCTATCTGTACAATTCAATTTGGCATCTTTAGCATTTAGAGATTAGGAAGTCTAGAGTCTGGGAAGGTTTTCATTCATCTAGGACACTGTAGAATGACCCGTGTGATGTTAAAGGGACAATTTACCTTTAATAATGTCCGCTCATCATTTACTCACCCTCTAGTTCCAAACCCGTACGAGGGTTAGTAAATGAGGATAACATTTTCATTTTAGTGTGCGACATGTGATTCTACTGTGCATTTAAAATGTTTCTAGCGCCATCCAGAGGCTGCAGTGCATGTTAATGTATGTATTGTCTTTAAAAGCCATCTGATGCAGCTGCCCAGGCCTTCCGCATGGTATAGAATGGTAGCAAAAGCTCTGCAAAAGCAGGTTTGATTTTTATTCTGTGGGGTGGAAGAAAAAGGAATGGATTCTTTTACTATTCTTATTTAACAGAAGGCTTGAACTGCACCTTCGTGGAAACATTTTCAGTGTTGTGGATTAGACAAGTAAAATGAATCACGTAGGCTTTATTAGATTAGCGACAGTCGAAGTGATCTTTAAAGCCATGTGTCTTCTTGTATGTGTCATACATTTAATGCCGTTTTTAAATCATGTACAGTCAATTATGATATTTAACTTTTCAAATTGGCATTCATTTACTATCAATTTTGATGCATTAACATACAGCTCTTGAAGATAAATGACTGTTTGTTTTGTTTGTCACAGTCTAAGTACAAGTTTTAGAATGGCATTTTAGAATCATAATAGCGAATAACCTAATGTGACTTTTCTCTTATTTGTCATGGTGATTTAATACGCGTGTCATTATGTAAAGGTAGTATGGCAATTGATAATGGGGTTTGTCCATTCAAAGGATGAAATCAAGAGGAGTTTCTCATTTCTAATGTGTAGAAAGTGCAAGTTTGTGACTGACTATATTTTGGTTGACAGTCAGTATAATGAGATTTTATTTTGTAGCATCTGTACTTTGTTCTGTGAACTGTGTGTTTTCATCCAGTGGGTGGCGATATTGTGCTGTTTTTTTTTACTCAATTCTGTTCTGTATATAGATTCTAGATTATTCAGTCTGTTTCTTATTTTTAAACCCCTTTTGACTGTTTCTTCACGAATTCCATCAGAATTCCAGGACAGAATTCATGCAAAGAATGACAGATTTTTGTATTTAATTTGAAGAGTAAAAAAGTAAGCAACAAGGGCTCTTTAAAATTCATCATTAAGAGAGGCAATAGGCAAATTTAGGCTATATAAGAAATGACATCACAGATGATGGATGAGAATGTAAAAGCCAAGAGCTTCATATACATCCAATTTTTGTCGTGATTGCACATTTAGATGTGATGAAAATCTGAATAATTATTTCCAGCTGGGTGAAAATAATGTGACATTTAACGTTTCCAAAAATTCAAGGAAGTCTAAATCATGTCCGTTTTTATGTGTGCTCTATTGATGCAACAAATATTCACAGAATCTCTCTCTAAAACACTGTGAGATCTGAAATTACTTCTAAAAAGCCAGTTCTTAACATTAAAAAGTTATATTCAGCCTGCTTCATAATTGATGCATATTGTCGTACAAATTATTCTAATAATCTGATATTGCCTGCTAAATTAGTTAACAGGCATATATTATTCATGTATTCTTAATGTTAGTGGAGCCATGCCTTCCGATGGGGCCGCATATTTTTATGGCAGTTTATTGCTATAAAACCCAGGGCTACACATTAAATGGTGGATTTTCAAGAAATAGGAACAGTTAAGATCTCAAAGCACTACTTCAGTATTTTTGCTTAGAGGGTCTTGTTGGTATGTTCTGGAGATGCATCAAATGGGAACTGGACTGGATCAAGTGCTTCTCCTCTCTGAAGACTAACTTCTGTGTTTGGATGGTGCCTGCTTAGATCTTCAAAAGCCATTTTAGAAGTAAACTACACAGGCCTCGCTCTCAGAACACTGCTTAAAGTGGCCAATCACTGCATCAGAGCTTTGGGACTCTTCATCAAGGGCCGTGATAAGGAGCTCATCTCCCTGACTCTGGAGAGTGTTGATATCTGTTGCATGTCATGCAAGCATCTGTTTGTACGTTGATGATGTTCTCAGTCATTACCAAGTCTTTGAGTTTCTGTAACCCTCTGAATATTTTCATGTGTGACAAGTGCCAAAATAAAGTGACCTCTTCTTGTGGCTTTGGCATTGTATTGCTTCACATGGTTTAATTGTAGGCTATATTTTGATTTATTAAAATACATTTTTGAAGATTATTTCATATTGATTATTAATTTGAATTTGAATTAGATTGTAACAAGACCTATTAAACCACTGCAATAAATGTTTTTGCACTTAAAAAAAAACATGTAAAAAAACATATATATACAGTATATATATATATATATATATATATATATGGACCATTCCACAGAATTGGTGAATTGGTGCAAACTGCTGTCCCACAACCAAGAAACAAGAAAGCATTTAAGTATTAAAATTTTAGATGTTTACTATGATCCTTCTATTATCTATTGAATCCCACAATAATATTTAAAATATAAGTAAGTTTAATATATATAATATCATCATTTATTGGGTACTTTCAATTGGGAGGTGGCTGTCCCGAACCCTAACCCCTAATTTTTTTTTTTAATCATGAAACTTTATGTAAAAAAATGTGTCCCGCATATTTACGTCACTACCGAAATAGTGTGTGTGTGTTTTAGTCCATTGGCTGAGACTGATTTTAACAGCACCCCTACATTTTTGATCAGGAAATATTCCTGTGTGCCTCTCTCTCATAGCCTCTCTTTCATTGTAGATAGTTACATCATTTTGAGGGAAATGTGTTCAAAAGTCTGAAAATCTGTGTGTAACTTTAAGGAACGTCACTACCAAACTTTTTTCTGCAATTTAGCAAACTTTTTTTGGGTGTTAATCCATAAAAATGTAGTTTTTATGCATGTACAACTGTTCAGGACTGTGCTAGGTAACCATGTGCTGGCTATCATCTTTCAACTATAGGCTCAAAAGTATCTAAAATTGCCACTACCGAAACATGTGATGGTTTCTGAGTGTTATCCGATAACATTTAGTTTTTGTGGGTGTACAACTGTTCAGAACTGTGCTAGTTAACCATGTGCTGATTAGCATATTAGAGCGATAGGCACAAAAGTATCTAAAATTGTCACTACCGAAACAATCATGACCGAAACATGTCATCATTGTCATCACATTGACATGTCATCACCACTTTATCATTTATTTGGGGGAAATAAACAAATTTTTAGTACAGTAATGCAAATCATTATTATTTTAGTATGTTTTAGTAGTGTTTTAGTATGTGAGTTAAAATTCTGCAGTGTGATGTCACTACCAAAACCTTACTGTCACTACCGAAAATGTGTTTGGTTCAATGTATATTCAAACTAATGAATCCTTAACTTTGAAATCAGTATGATTAACTTAATGCCTTTTACAAAGAAAGATTGTATTCAAAATACAACAAATTTTATAAATTACACTTGAAATATTGTTGAAATTCTAATTGCTATTGATTAACCTGTGAAAACTTTTTTTTTAAATAAAAAAATATATGTACAAGGTAGATGTTAACAAAATATTAATGTCAATATAAGCCAATATAAATTTGGGGAGAGGAAAAATATTCCAAAACTTTCTGAAAATACAATATGATAATTAACTGCAAAATTACTGGAAATGTGTACCTTGGATATTATACAAACATACAAAATTTGGAAAAATATATATATTTTTTCAAGACGTTTCCAACTCTGACTTTGAACCAATTCTTAAAATGCCCCATATAGGCCTTAGCATATAGCCTGGATATAAACTGTGACGTAGTTAATCTGGTTAATTTCTTCCTCTTTTCTTTTTTTGGTTAGTAGAAGTTTTGAATGTCCGGTAACTTAACTTAGATTTAATGGCCACATTGGCTGGTGGGTGAAAAAGTTAATTTCAAACCCTGTAGGCTATAGTCTAGAAGATCATTGTAGGCTACACAGCATATTGGACACAAATCTTTGTCGTGCAGTGTAAGTCATAAATATTTTTGGTCTGTTCTGGGAAAGCTACATGTGCTAAAAGGGCGTTTTTGTCAACTATATAGGCCTATATGCTGTCATATATGATTTTATTTACATTTAGTTATTTTAAATTTGTTTTTAATTGATCACTTAAACAGATTATTTTTCGAATAGACTGTTTAATTATAAAACGGTAAAAAGAACCTAGTAGATAGGTACCCTAACATGACAGGGGTGTTAGTGCATGGATGGGGAGCTTAGAACTTCGGGCTGTTTTGTGAAGAACCCTCCCCGCGTGCCCGTCAGCTGCTCTACTCTCGCGCATTCGGCGCGCGCTGAAGATGGCGGAGCAGCGCGAGCGAGCGGCGCAGGATGCGCTCACGAGACATCAAAGTTATTTCTGTGGCGTCCAGTTGATTCGCATTCTCGCGACCGCTCTCAAAGCGGGCATTTAAAACGGTAAGGGGATGCGTGCTGAGTGCTGTGTTCTATGCGTGTTCCAAGGGGCTGTTTGCTTTTTCTGGAAACACACACACACACACACACACTGGTTTGGCGTTGACTTCAGTTGCAATGTGGCAGTCCGCTAGATGCAGAACATCTCGCCTTCAGCCTTGAGTTATGCACGAGGACTTGTTCGATGAGAGTGGTATGTACTAGTGGGTTGTTTGTAGATTGAAGACAAATCAGTGCTATTGTTTGCAAAGTTGCAATGTTTACAATTTGCTTGAGACCATCAAATTCTCTACAGTCAGTCAGTAACGTTAGCCAACAATAGGTGGAAGAGACCTGTCAAAATGTTTGTGTCTCTAGAACGGGGTTAGTTTATTTTTAGTTTGTGTTCAGCTTTTATATATTAGTAATGGAAATCAAGGTTCTGTTGCACAGTTATGTGCTGAAATGGGTCTGTTTATTTATTTATCTGTTGCAGAGATTGACCGATATTGCTTTTTTAAGACAAAAAACAATTATTTTTAATTGTCTGATAAATTAGCCTACATAACCGATTTTTATTGTTGACAATAATGATGATTAGACCACAAACATAGATATTAAAAATGGATTAAGAATGTTTGATAGATAATAACAACAAGCCTAATGATCTAGATGTTTGCAAAAATATTTTTTGTTTTGCATTCATTTAGTGAATTAAGATACGCTTTTCTTGAGAATACCGTAATTGGCTGTTATTTAAGTCATTGTGTAATTTTCCAAAAATCATAAATTAAGTTTAAACGAATTGTTTGTAGGCTACTACTCAACAAATGGTGGCATTTATCAGTATCCCTATAAAAAGAACCGATAACTGATTAAATTGAAAATTGTGACTATCGGTTACAAAATATTGTTTAAACCAATCAGTCTACCTCAATTATAAAGGATCTTTTGTCACAGTTATCTCCATGTAATTCAACGCACAAACAAACCTGTTGATGATGTATCTTTGTGCTAAAACATACAACCTGGAATTGTTTGCTGTTGGCATTTGGGGTGTTGCCAGCGCAGTCTGTGATATTCTGCCAAGGTGTGTGGGAAGTTCCTCTTGATGTGTTTATTTTGTCTGTGTTTTGCACATCAAAAAAAAAAAAAAAAAAATTGTTGTCATTCTAACATATCAGTAAATGACATATTTTAAAGCACAAGGGCCTGCTTGCTTTTGAGATGCTTGTTAAGTGTCTTACGTTGTGAGGGAATAACTGGACTTTATGATTAGGAAAGCATCTGTTTTCTTGCCTGTGAATACTCACGACAAGATAGTTTCACTGGCTGTGCATCCGAGATTGGAACACATCCATTTCTGTGATTTTATACCATAGATTCTGAGACAATTAAGTCTCATTTAATGTGCTACTGATAATATGTTTGCGGTTTAAAGTAAAACGAAACTGGAGTGGAAAGACACAAAAGACTATTGAAGTTTTGAAAGAAATGACTACTGTTGCTGCTGGTGGACTGATGGCACATTTGAATTGAAATTATGAAAATCGTTTTTAGACGTTTTAGCTTCGACTCAGTAATTACATTCGGCAGCTATTGAAGTAGGAGAAGAGAGAAATAAAAGAGCATCCGCCTCCTTTGAAATGAACCTATTAATGCCTCTCATTTGACTGAGGAACCCAATGAGTGCTGGTCAGAGAGCTGAAGATGAATACTACTCATTGAGTGCCTCGTTGATGTCCTTGATGAGTCAGATATAATTAAACATTGTTGCTCGTGGCCTTTATTCTCCAGACTGTAATTTGCTTCACGAAGAGCTTAATCAGTGCTCAATAAAAGTGGAGCCAAACCTGTTTATGTGCTTATACTGTGTAAATAGA